GCTGGGTCTGGAACTGTCCATGCTGAGTCTCAGTTTGGAATGCCATTCTTCTCCTTTACACCCCCCTGCTCCCATCTGCCCAGCAAATATCTGCTCATATTTCAGGTCTCAGCTCAACCTTCCCATTCTTTGCAAGTCTTCATCTGTTGTGCCCCTAAGAACCGATTACTTTTCTTTGGGGGCTCCACCTCCTCCACATATCTATTGTCAATGTCAGTTTGCCTCTCTTGGAATGTAAACTTCCTCAAAGACAATATCTCTGACATGTGCATCTCTTTACCTTGTGCCCAGCTCATAGTAGGATCAAAATAAATATCCGCTGAATGAAGAATGTATGGATTAAAATGGTGCCCAACCTATGAGCAAAGGCTAAATGAATATTGTGACAGTGAAACAAATGTTGATCACTATAGCATACTGAATCATCACAAAGGCTTGTCTGCAGATAGCTCTGCTGTTTGTAAACTCACTAAGTCTCAGTTTGCATTAGCAAACAAGTTGGGTGGGTATTCTCTAGAATGTAAGCCGACTTCCAGGGACAGAAAAAAGGGGGTGGTGCCTTCTGCTGGCTTGCTTCCTTAGCAATCTTCGAAAACAAAACCCAGCAAAAACAATTCCCCACTTCCCAAAAGTTGGCCCTGGCTCAAGTTTTTCTTTTCCAAAATACTTTCTTTGGTCAGGCAACACCCCCCCACGCTATGGTTGTTGGGCATTAGTGTGCTCGGAATCCATTAGAGAAGGTCAGTCCTGAATACCAAACAGCTGCAGAGCCCCGAGTTTCCAGAACAGGAGTCTAAGGATCGAAAGGCATAACGATAGCCGTCTTCTCTGTTCATGCTGTTCTAAGCTTTGCCATAAGCAGGCATATTTTAGAGACCAGCCTTGAGCTATCCTAACTTCCACACGTGAAGTGAAGAACAAATAATTTGAGACAGAAAAGTAATACAAGGCAATGTTTTAGCTTTATATGTACATACAGGCTCCTTGTTTCCTGACAAAAACACTGCTTTCGATCTAGTCAACATCACAGACACCTTAAGGGTACGAAAGAGCAAGGTTTTTGTTTGTTTGTCTTTTAAATAGCAAAACTTTTGTACTAAATAAAGAAATAAAATAGAGCAACACCAAACCAAATTGCAACAAAAGTAAGCCCTCTCACTCCAGATTACCTATTAATTTCAGATGGAAAGCCCTATAGGCAGTAAGGGGAAAAAAAATTGACCCATGCATTAAGCAGATTGGATAGTTAATCTAAGCCAAGGGGAACAGCCAAATAATATTAAGTGGTTATGGTAGAAAGTAAGTTTTGGACATTCTGCTTTCCTATTAGTACCCAAACTTGTAAAAATACTCAGAGCAGCAGAAAGAAGGACTAAATTTAGACTCTGATTTAACGCATTCAAAAGCGTGATTCATTTTTCCCCTGTCCCGGTACAGCCTGGGTAATCTGCGTGTATGGCAGGCAACACAAGGATGCCCTGTGAATAAAGGGAAGTCTCATTCATTCAGAGGCTCAAGGAAGCTAGAGACACCCCATCTTCTCGGCCAACAAAGGTGTATATCTAGGTACCTCATCCACCATGGAACCACATTTCTCAACTGGAGAGAGGGCCTCTAATATTAGCTTTGCCCTGGCCTTGGCATGAGTGTGCTGGAAATTTATTCTGTTGCTCCTTTTCTCTAAATGTTTTTTTCCCCACTCAGGCTCCAGTTGGATCCTGACCAGCCCTCACATGCCATGCAACATGGGTCACCTTAATGAGACACTTAAAAGGATGTCATCATTTGGTAGCAATGCATTTAGCAAGCAAGGGCCCAAGTTACTGAACGGTAACCCATAGATTGGGCTGTAGAGGGTTGCTGTTATATGTAACTTAAACATCAACCCAATGACAACAGCAAGGTCATTTCTCTTTAGTTCATCATGGTGCTAGGCAAAACATCCCGGCAGAGCAGACCATGACTGTCCCTTCCCAGTTTCATCATCCGCTGCTGCCAATCACGATCTTGCACTCACATCTGCTCCTGACACAAGGCAAATCTTTTAGCCTCTACAGACCACTGAGCTCATGCCAGACTATCATTTGTGTTAATCTAACCTAGTTTAGAGGTGAAAACCCCCTAAACTATTTTGTGATTTTACAGTGACTCCATTCTTTCTTATTTCTTTGGCTTTCAGTCTTTAAGCACATTTGGAAAGTAACCTCAGAAGTCTCATTCCAGCTTTTTTGGCCTTATTGAAAGTCTCTGGGTTTAGGACAAACTACAAGAAAAAAAAATGGGAGTATATATAAAAAAATCTGTCGTTCAGAAACACGGCCTCCCGGAAGTGAGGGCATTATAGCCGTCCTCCCGTCTGAGGTGGAAGACAGATGTTATTAACCCACCCCTTGGGCTCTGTTACACATCCATGTACATTCATCCCAAGAAAGATTATTTCCCCAAACATGAAATGGGTTCAGCAGTTTTGCAGTTCAAAACAGAAAGAGTTAGATATGGAGCACGTGCATCACATTAGAAATGAGTTGCTCTGAGAAGGTGTGTGTGAATGAGCAGCACCGAAGAGGCCCCCACAGGGCCACCTCCACAGGATGGGACTGGCAGACCCTGGGCAGGGCCGTGGGTCCAGGTGGATATGAGATCCCATCAGCCTGAACACATGCTTCACAAACCAGCCTGGACACGGCACAGAAAAGAGGCAAGACACCGTAGGGCAGCGTCAATGATTTGTACCTTTCTCAAACAGCTTGGTTCTTGGGTCTCCCAGGCAATTCTGTGTGGCTAGGTGGGGCAGTCACCTAATGCCCCTTGGGCTTGTCCAGTGCCACAACATGAAAATCAAATTATTTCCAAGATAGGGATGGATGTTCAATGACCTTGGCCAAATGTAATGACAGATTTGGGGGCAGCCTCCTATACCCATTTGAGAAAGGACAAATGCTCTTTAGCACTCTAAACAGCAAACTGGCTGATTTAGCTTAGAACAGTGGCTACCATTGCAGCCAATTTCGGAAAGTCAAGAAGGAAGGTAAGTAGGGGAAGGGTGTCATGAAGTTTGCATCCATCCAAGGCTGGGTCAGTTCTATACCGAGATTTGGAGTAGAAATTTATTCTCACACACACAGAGCACCACAGATCTAATGAACAATAAGGGATATCTATTTTCATACTTCACTCACACAAAACACCTCTCTTCCATCTCTGGGGGTGGGGGTGGGGTTCCAGTTCTAAACTACAATCAGCCCTTCTTTTAAAATAACAATAATAAATCCTCTTATTCAGCCAGATGGTGGTGTCTGTTGCACTAGGTTGGGCTCATAGTACAACATCAATAAATGGCCACTTGTAGAGGGACAGACAGAATCCCATTTATAAAACACACCTACACTTCCTGCCTTCTCCCCTCCCAAAATGTTGCACTGTCAAAACACCCATGGGGGCTTAATCTCATTTTGGGGAAGAAAGGAAAACTAAAAAAGGCAAAATAATGTACATGGAAAGCAATTTCTTGGGGGGAAATAATACATTTAATCTCTGAGGAGAATGATCGTAGATGGGCTTTTAAGTTGTTTTGCCTTTAGGGACCATTTGAAAGGAGGATCCCCAAAGGGTTTTCCCTAGGCCCTGAAAAGCTGTCTCGGGGAAGGCTGCACATTGCCAACCAAAGATCTTACAACCAGGAGATGGGAGTTAAAATTCTTCCTCAGTGAGCTTGGCCAAGTCTCCTGAAATGAATATTTGTTCCAATTAGGTGTTCCAGAAAGACTTCTTGCCTCAGATGACTCATTTTAAGAAAGGTAGTTGTTCAGAATCCATCACAGGAGGGAAAATGACATATTAATGTGTCCTGTTGCCAGTGTAAACATACTCCTCACAGGTCCAGAGGGCTCACGCTCTCTGGTGCTTGCTCCTTATCTCCTTGGTGTCAGTCCTACCTGGGGTTGGCTGGGGAGGAGGCGGGTACTGACTGGTCTCTGCTGCTGTGCTTCACAAACTATACTCCCTGGTTATGTAACCCCGATCCATGACCACAGTCCAGGGCTCAGATGGCTGGCTTGTCAGCAAAAAAACATTTCAAAAATGTTAATTCGACAATGTTGGAGGGATGTTATTTCTAGAGCTAAACTCCTCGGGGAAAATGAGAAATAGTTGCTTTAGGGATTCAGCTCTTCCATACTGGAAGGTACTTCTTTCCTGATGCTTTCTTCCCAAATAATTTCCCAAAGCCTGGCGTGCCCTGACATTTGGTCCAAATAAAATGCTGGAACAGACTCCTCGGATACAACTACCTCCAAACTCTGTATAAGAGGGTGTTTATTATAGAGATTTGGCATCTATTAGGGCATGAAACATTGGGGGCCTGCTGGTGCTTGCTCCTCACACTGAATCATTTCATGATATAGATACTTTTTTTTTTTCCTGGCGTTTACAGCAAGCAACTCAGTTTATAACCTAAGGCATTTTCCATACTTCCAGGCAATGAATACTAGCTTCTTTTGAGTCTCAACAGCACATAATTTAAGACAGTGGGAAAAGGAGCTGAAGAATAGTTTCCATTGCAAGGAAAACACCATGCAGATGTTTGCCCTCTTGAATTCTGATGGCAAAATAGAGAACTGTTTGTTTGTTCTGAAGTCAAACCCAAGGAATTTAGTTTTTACAGGCTGGGGGCTGGGGTAGGGTGGGGAGTAATGACATAGTATTTTAATAATATTGAAATATTCAACACATGGCCCTAGGATTTAGAATCCCCAAATAATTTAGATCTTTTTATATGGTTCTTTATCAAATTTGGGATGTCAGATAGCGATTTGTGTCACAGAAAGGACATACCTACAGAAATACCTGAGGACTACTTTATGAAAATTGTATGTTCGCCTTCTGTAATTGTTTTCTTTCCTCCAAGATAGCCAGCTAGGAATCGGTCCTCTATCTTGAGCCATTTATTGAGAACAAACAAATGAACTCGGAAAAGACATGACCCAATTGAAGTTCAATACCTGACTTTGGTGTATGAGAATCATAAACTTGCTTACGGTCTATCTGGTCCGCAAACACTTCCCCATAAATCATCCAATAGGGCATGTAGAAGATGTTCTTGGCCAATTTCCATGATGGCTCTTCATTGGGAAAGAGAATGGCTTGCCTGGCGACCCCAAAACTCATCAGTACCACCAGCATAATGATGACAAAGTACATCATGTCTATCATCTGGAAGGGTGGGGAAGCAGAGGGAGAAACAAAAGAAAATCCATATGACTGGATGTTCCTATGACACCAACATTGATGGAGACCTTTGAAGGAGGATCAGTTTTAATATTACTGCTAAGGGATATACAGATAGCTGTATCCAAGTAAGAAAGAGAACACTTGGTCTATTGAAGCAATTTCCACAGAACTTTATCAGTAACTCAAAAATCATTTTTAAAAAAGCACACATAGAACGGAACCCCCTCAGTTTTCATTGTTGTCTGTGCCACCTAGTCAAGAATAGGCATGGGAGTCACATGAAGCTCGGGTCTCGCTACGAATCTGGTACTAACTTTGTCTCTGTTCCTGGGAAGGGCAAATGTCCTCCTTGGGTCTCTTTCTTCTTAGCAAAATTGAAATTGGGATAACTGAACTATTTCAAGAACTATTGCAATGCTGTAAATTCCCTAAGTTGGAAAGGCTAATGAAGAGTTGGAATGCTCAAGAAAATAATAATTTGCAAACAAAGCTAGGACAACCCAAATATCCATCATGTACCTTCTTAGTCTTGTGGTACCACCTCATCGTCCAGTGTTCTACCACAAACCAGTCCCTCAGAGAACCATTCTTTCTGTATTTAATTCTCTTGTAGCATATCCTATCAGTTATGGATGGATGGTGTTTTTGTAGGCAATAGAATCAGGTTGTCTAATGGCCCATTTCTGTGTCTGCTGTTGAAATGTTGGATTTTCATCTTGACATGTTTATAACATTCTCTTGACTGCATTTGAGCACAATGTTCCTCTTGATTCCTTTCTTTTTTGCTTGTTTTCATGATACATATTATCTGGGATCTGTTTCTCATATGCCAAATTACTTTCCTTTTATCACCAAAAATAGATGGGGATGTAATAACTATTATTTTGCCTGGCCAGAACCCATTGCCTCCTTCTTTTAGAAGCAGTTCCCACCCATTTTGGCCACAAAGATAGGTATCTTTTCCAGGCTAGGTTAATCATGGTACCTCACCCTCTGGCAACAGTAATAGGAGATAGGCATGTGACATAGACGAGCCAATCAGAATCCTTTCTTTGGATTTTTTTTCAACTGAAGCTGGAACAGAGAAGCTCCCTTTCTTTTTCTGTAACAATATGAATTCAGAGTGTCTGAGGCTGAGGCTCCCACTAGTGAAACTGATGAGGAGTGAATGAAGCAGATATTCCAGACAGAGAGAGAGTATGTCCTGACAGTGGTTGAGGGCCTGATTGCAATAGCCCTTAAGGGCGGTTTCATTTTGCCCTTCTAGAAGTCAGTATATCCCTCCTATGCTTAAGCTAGTTGGAGATTGGCTTCTATCCCTCATATCAAACCATCTAATACAAAAGATGACCTTCTCTTGGATATCAAACTTCCTGAAGGGATACCCCTTCACAAAGAAACACTAATGATAATTTTATCAATGATAATAAAGGCTTTAAATTTGCTTTAAAATTTTATTTTAAAAGAATATATTCCATGGTGCCTGTTATTAGAATTAAAACACCAGAGCCTTCCTGTTTGCCCGAGGACTCTGGGGGCTCAATATATTTTAAGTCAATTAATCAACCGTCAAGGCAACTTCCAAACCCAGCTGTCAAGTATCGTCTGACCTTGAGACTCAAGAGGAATCTCTCAAAACTTGACGTTCATTCATATTTGTTCACTGTTCTTAAAAATATATGTTACTTAATTGGTTATTCCTTTCACAGCATAGCGGCCTCAGAACTCTCTTAAAAGTGAATAAGCCAGCTGTGTTGAAACAGTTTTATAGGAAACATAGGCCTGTTGCTCATCCTCTATTTTGTAAAATTCTTTCATCCTTTATTTACAGAAAGTTTTATCAATGAAAAAACACTAATGGGTCCTTCATGTTGTGTATTTGGATTGATTCAAATGTGGGTGGGAAGAGGAAGGTATGTACTCATGAAATTTAGGAGCCAGTCTGACCCAAGCAAACAGCCAGTACACACAGCAACTGCTCTAATTTAGTTTCTCAGGGCTGTTTTCGTTCAGATTGAGTCAGCTATCTACCCAAGGGGCCAAAACAACCAAAGACAAGAAAGATTCTTCCCGGGGTGCCTGGGTGGCTCAGTTGTTAAGTGTCTGCCTTTGGCTCAGGTCATGATCTCAGGGTCCTGGGATCAAGCCCCACATCCCTGCTCAGCGGGAAGCCTGCTTCTCCCTCTCCCACTCCCCCTGCTTGTGTTTCCTCTCTCACTGTCTCTCTGTAAAATAAATAAATAAAATCTTAAAAAAAAAAAAGATTCTTCCCACTCAACTTCATAGATTTCAAAAAAGTCTTCCACACAAATACTAAAATCTGCTAGAGTGCAGAAATAGAACATTATTAGTAAAAACTAGGGCTGGGGACCTCTGTTTTTATAGCTAAGTCATCCAGTTGGTTCAGTATGAAGAGAGCTGATTCTGTCTCACTCTTGTAAACCCATTGGTTGCTTCCTGTACAGGTGTTAGACCACCTGAGTTTTCATCTCGACTCTGCTAGTAAAAATAGCTTAGGTGGTCATGTGCAAGTTACTTAATCCTGTTTTTTTTTTCTTCTTCATTTACAAAATGGGGATAATAAAGACAATAACAATGCATATTAATTTTGTAAGGATTAAATGAGGTAATACGCGAAGCAATGTGGGTAGATCTCTGTAAATGTTAATGTATTGTTATTTTTAGCATTGGATGGTCAGCCTATGAAGTCAGACCCATACAAGCTGGAATCCTGCCTTTGTTCTTTGCCCAGTTTCAGTTTATTCAATTGCCAAATGAAGATACTAAAAGCCATTTCATGGGGTTGTAGTGATGATGACATGTCTGACATGCTGTTTGGCACAGAGTAAATGATAGCTATTATTATTGTTGTTTTTATTCTGCATTATATAAGTGAGCTTAGTACTAGGCATTGCATTGAGTACTAGGAATTGCATTGAGAAGTGAAATATAGAGGAAAGGGGATTCCAGTAACTGATCCTGAATTTCACGATCATTTGGAATCCTAGTGGATCAATATTGTGCCCAGGTATCTTAGGAGCTGTCTGTCTATCCCTTACCACAGGACACAGTGAGTTACTTGGCTGTTTAGTACCGAATAGGAACTCTCTAATGTTGCGGGGCTTTCAGAATAATCACATCTGGGCATATTTTGTTAAGTTTCCCGCCTGGCAGTCCATCTGGCTCATTGATAAATTCTATAGGCATATTTTACCTACCTTCTGGATCAGTACTCAATTATTGAACTAAGTATCTTAAAAGCTCCATGAAAGAGAACAAAGCCACCAAATACACTCATTTTCTACTTATTCTTGACTGATAAGTGAAGTCATTCATAAGTTGGAAGGTAGAGAAAATGCAGTACATCTCTCTTGCTCACTCCATAGTAAGGTTTCATTCAAGTCAAAACTGGGGATAATTATGCCATTATTAAAATGATAGACGGGGATTTTACAATAAGCTTGCTGTTTTAGTGTGACTTTAGATATTTCAAGTATTTCAATGCCACCCAACCTTTTTAAAGTAATATATTTGGCTGGCTTGAGACTTCAGATCTTATTTATTGAAACAAAACAAGGCAACCAATCAATTAGAAAAAACAAGCCATCAGATTATGTAATTGTCTACTGTGGTGGTTCTCAACAGAGAGCAATTGCATCCTCAAGGGACATATGGAAACGTCTGGAGATGTTTTTGTTGTGGTGAGAGTGTGTGAGTGTGTGTGTGTGTGTGTGTGTGTGAGTGTGTGTGTGTGTGTGCATCTACCCTACTGGCATTAGTGGGTAGAAGTCAGTGATGCTGTTAAATATCCTATGATGAATAGGATGGCCCCCACAACAAAGAATTACCTAATCTGAAATATCAGTAGGGTCCAGGTTGAGAAAACTTAGCCTAATTTTGCAGCTGTTATAATTCTTCACTTTCATTGGTTTCATTTGAAAATACATTTGAGAATCTCATGGAAGCTTGTCCTAACTGTCCAGGAAATTCATACGCTCGTGTATTTTTTATATATAAATTGGGTGGAGGGTCCACGAATCCTTTCTCCTAAATCTCTCCCAAAGACTCTAAGTTGAAAGTCTCTGCTTTTAGACATCTAAATCTTTACCACAATCTCAAATTCATTACTAAAACACAGAGATTATTTAACAGGCTGTGCAACAGAGTAAGATAAACTTTTTTTTTTTTTTTTAATCTAGTCAAAAATCCCAATTGAACTGGGATTCGGTTTTGGGTAAATAATTCAGGCTTGTTGAATTCAAATTTTCCTCTCTAGAATGGGCTTGGTGATATTTCCCTTAAGCAATACTGGTGTTATAAATCTCAAGCTCTTCTTAACAAAATGGTTAAGAAGAGAGCGGACTAGGGGCACCTGGGTGGCTCAGTCATTAAGCATCTGCCTTTGGCTCAGGTCATGATCCCAGGGTCCTGGGATCGAGCCCTGCATCAGGCTCCCTGCTCCGCGGGAAGCCTGCTTCTCCCTCCCCGACTCCCCCTGCTTGTGTTCCCTCTCTCGTTGTGTCTCTCTCTGTCAAATAAATAAATAAAATCTTTAAAAAAAAAAAAAAAGAAGAGAGCAGACTAACCAGGCTCACCAATCCCCCCAACCTTTTTTTATTATACTTTAACAAACATAAAACTGTTGGAACATAAATATATAAATCTAACAGATGCCATTTATTAACTACCTACTATGAGCCTACTATTAGCTATTTAGCATGTTATTTCTAATCATCACAACAACCTTGCAAGATACAACCTTGCATTTATTATAACTACTTTAAATGAGTAAACTGAGTCTTAAAGAGGTTAAATAAATTGCTCAAGGTCTCACAACCCCTTCCTTTTGGATTCAAATTCTCCTCTTGGCATGTGTTTGTCAGTGCTTTTGTAGGAAGAGTCTTGGTTATTTAAGATTCATTTCAGTAGAGTTATATATGCACATACACACTAATAATAACAACAAATATTGATTTGCTGACCTAAAGGTCAGCAGCGACGATGTATATAGTAAAACTTGACTGAGAATGATAAAGGACATCTATTGACTAATGGTTCGTTTTCAACAGCTCACAACTAGAAGTGGAGTGGAGGTTATTAGCACAGAGGTTTTTCAGTAAGAGTTACCATGGTAGGAGGGAGGTATTTGGTTTTTCCACATATGCCCTGCGAAGATGAAGTAAGGGACACTTACTCAAATTCAACCTAGCTCAACTCAGCTAAAGTAGATTATGTTTTCTTTCCTTTGTGTAGGGAAAGGCATTTTTCAAGCACTTTATTAAAAAAAAAAGAAGAAGAAGGAGAAATGTTACAAATTGAAAAATCTGTTAAAAATTTGGAGTGACACCCACTCCTCCTCCAAGATCCAGCTAAAATGTAACCTCCATGGGAAGCCTTCCCTGACCTACACTGTTTTTCCTATGCTCCTTTATACTTTATATGCATCTCTATCACAGCATTCTCCCACCGTATGGTAATTACTTCTCTTTCTCTCATCTCTGATCTCATGGAATGAGCTCCTTTATATACCCAACTCCTACTCCAATGCTTAGCACAAAATAGATGATCTGTGATTGTTTTTCAGTAAGTAAACGGGTGAGTGATGGTTGATTTTCCAGTGATGTATATAGATGTAGTCAAACTCCCAATCAAAAGGAATGAAAAAAAAAAATAAAGCACCCCCAGGGCCACCTCAGTAGGCCCAAATGAATTTTTTTCCTCTTTCTGTTATTGCCACTCCTCCTCTACAAATTTATAACATGGAATCAGAGGACCCTGCTTACCATTTTTCCAATCATCATTACATATGGGCCCAGATACTTGTTCACACCGAAGATGTCTAGTAGACGGATGTACCAGTAAATGATGTTCACACAATAGATGACCCTCCCATCACTCCTGAAGGGCTGGTCTTGGAGACGAAGGATCATTCCGACAGAGAACAAAAGGATGGCTATTAGGTCTGTGACATTCCAGTATTCCTGCAGCCACACCTTCACTTTCTGTAGCAACTTCCCTGGTTCTGACATCAGAATCTAAAAGGCAGGAAAGAAAGGGGCTTAGGTCTGATTTCAGTCTATGTTTTCAGTCCAGTTGGAAAATGCCTGGTCTGTTAGTTGACACCAGTAGCTTGTTTCGTTTACCTGGGTCTGCTTGAATACGTGCATGCTATGAATATACAAGTGAGCTAAACTTAGGCCACGTAGATACAAACATTCCAGAGGCAAATATAAGCAAGAAGTTTGCTCCTTTGGGTTGCCTTACCATTCTAAGACACGCATTAGGGTTTTGCTATAAAATTACTGCTCCTAATATACTGTAAATCTCTTAAATTCTGCTCCATCTGAGTGCCACCATATTGAGTTCCTCAGATCCCCAGGGAGGACTACTTCAGTCTTCTCTTCACATCCAGAGAATTGCATCAATATCACCTCTATTTCTAAATACAATCTGATCCAACCATTTCTCACCACTACCCACTGCTGCCACTCTATTCTAAGTCCTATCACGTCAACCAGATGATTGCAACATCTTCTAACTAGTAGCTTTGCCACCACTGTTGCACACCCTTCCTCAATCCATTCTCTGAGCAGCACACAGAATGATCTTTAAAAACTGAAGCCATGATCTGTGTGGTGATTACCCAGCCGTACAGGTAGACAGAAACTCATCAAGCTGGACTCTTATGAGTTGTTCATTTTCTTACAGGTAAATTATGCCACATCTAAAAAAGCAAGAGACTTGAGAGATGCATGAGCAACAACAACAACAAAAACTAAAGCAAATTGTGGTAAGTGAATATTTACATCGTCCAATGGCTTCTGATACAAATAGAGAAAGATCCAAACACCTTCCTGTGTCCTCATGTCCCATCCCACCATATTCTTGCCATTCCACACCTGCAGACACCGTGGTGTGCTCTTCAGCATAACAAGTCCATTCTATGCTCAGGATATCTGCACTTGTTCCTTTTCTTGGGCATTTTCTTCTCCCCGATTTTTACATGTTTGGCTCCGCCTCATCCTCAAGATCTCTGCTCTAATGTCCCCTTCTCAGGAAGACCTTCTTTGACTAGCCTACCTGCAGGGGCCTCCCCAGCCCCAAGTCAGCCACTAATATATCACCCTTATGTTTTGAAGATTTTATCACTATATGAAATCAACTTCTGTACGCACGTAAATATGTTGTATGTATCTGTCTACCTAATGATCATCTCCACTAGACTGTAAACTCTGAGGACAGACCCTTCGTTCCCCAGGGCCTGTGACATCATAGATTCTCAATAAATGTTTGTTGACTGGCTGCTACATAGACACCTACCTCACAGCAAATCTCCTCTCCCTCCTCTATCATTAGCTGCTGGGTGGGGCTCTGACTGACCTTAAATCTAGAGGGGCTTTTCTGCTGCCACACATAGGCTCTATGAAGTGCACAGTTGGATGGTGGGAGTTACCACCCGTCCCACAGCACAGCTTGCTGGGTGGATGTGACGAGCCAGGAAGGCTATGAGGGAGGCCTAGTGAGACTGTATAGCTGGGCTACCTTCACGAATCCTCTGTTTACCCTGAGACTTCCGTCCCTTCGAGCCATCACCAGCCCCCCTTTCCCAGCCCAGGACCTCCTCTCAAAGGAGAGGAAAGCAAAGACAGGGGGCAGGTCTAATCTGCAGCTATTTGAATCCTCGTGTCACCTTTCCTGGCTTACCTTAGCCTGAAATATTAAGGAAGGGAGGTCTTAGGACGAGGGGTTGGAGTGCTGCCCAAGAGACGAGAGCCAGCTGGTAGCCTCATGCTTCCTCCTCTGCAGTGCTGTATTCCTAAACCCTAGCCCAGGGTTTTCTTCGACTTCAGCATGCATCAGAATCACCTGGAGGGCTGGCGAAAGCACAGATGGCTGCGCCCTACGCCTGGAGAGTCTGCTTCGGTGCGCCTGGTGTGGGGCTCAAGAGTTTACATTTCTAACAAGTTCCCAGGTAAAGCTGGTGACAACAGGTTGAGGGCCACTGTCCTACCCGTCAGGGATTCCCGCACCTGCTGTCGTCCTGGTGGCTTCTCACCGGGCTCCATCTTAAGGAGGAAAAACTCCGTGTGTGTGGGCAAAGGGGGGATGGGAAATGACTTGGGAGTTTTTCTAACCCTGAGTCCACACTTTCCTACACCTAACGGGTCAACACAGAGGTTGACAGCTTCATTTTTTAACCGGCAGAAGTATCTCTGTGAAATCTCAACGTAAACAAAAGAGATGAGGGCTGAGCGGCTGCAGAGAAGCAGAAGCACAGAGACCCCAGCGCTAAAACTTCTCCAACAGGCCCTGAGGGCGAGTGGCCGGCGGGAGGGCGTGGCCGGCGGGAGGGGGCGTGGCCGGCGGGCCGCAGCCCCGCCGCGCCCTCGCGGGGCTGCTGGGAGGAGGGTCCCGGAGGGACGACGTCCGCCCACGCGCGCCGTAAACAGTTCCGGGGCCTTGGGGGATCCCCGAGGCTTGTTTTGGTGACTGCGCGCAGAAGTATGTGGTGCTGGGCATGGGAGGGCCGCGTGTGAAACCACAAAGCCCTACTTGTATATGGGAAGGCCGGGAAGCCTACAGACTTTTCCACGTTTCCAGGATCTTGCATGCCCGCACGCTGCGGGAGGCGCGGAGGCGGGACCTGTGGGGTCCTCAGCCTCGGGGCCGGGGAGCATCTCGGATGGGTCCAGGACGTCGGGCGTGGGCGGCCGCCTGGCCAGGCCGAGGAGGAACAGGTCGGACAGGAAGGTGGTCAGCGCCTTCCTGCTCGGCCTCCTCGGAAGCCGGGACTCTTGGGCTGACCCCCTGCTGACCCGAGCCTGCAGAGCTCTGCCCTGCCCACTGTTCCATGCCGCCTCAGGAGAAATGGATATCCAGGCCGGGAGGTGCCTGGCAGCCCGCCTGCTTGGCAGCCTCTTCCAGAACAGTCCGTGGAGTACAGACTGCTCCCTCTCTTCTTCCAGTCTGGTCCCTGGAGGGATTCCAGTCTCCCTGCCCAAGTCTTTTCCCTTTTCTGCTTATCATGGGGGAAGGAACATGCATCAGGGCGTTAAACCACGGGAGAGGAGCTCCTACTGAGCAGCGCAGAGCCCTTAGCGGTAGCAGGCCTCAGTTCTCAAGAGAGCGACGCAAAGACCACAGCAAATTTATTACAGTTGTTCAGTTCCCAAACGGGAAGTCCACAGCCCTGGTCAGGAAGTAGAAGGCACTGTGAATAGGAAGACCTAAGAGTAGACCGTCAAGTAGAACAAGGCCAGGCAAGGCATCATCCATTAAAAAAAAAAAAAAAAAAAATCCAGTCTCATAGAATGGGACTAGTGTACGCCTCCAAACTCTCAGGATGGGGGCATGCCGATTAGAATTTAAGTATCCCCAAAGCAGTTTAAAAAACCCAAAAGAAGGGCTCTAAAATATATTTAAGAGATTTTTTTGGGGGGGGGGTGATTCCCCCTATGATGGCATCTAATAGATACTGCATCCCTTTTTTCTGGAAGAGAACATTCGAGAACTATAACCTAAGATACTGAGGGTCTTTTCACCTGTCTTGGTAATGAAGGCAAGAGGGAATTTATGAATTTGTAGGAATTCTTTTTTTCTGTGGACCGTGATATACTTTCCCACTCACTGTAGTATAATGAGTAGGATTGTTCCAGAGCTCCTGAGGGTGCAGTGGACTTGACGGAGAGTAATTCTTCCAGAAAAGACCTTGCCTGCTGACTGTAGTTCCAGGGGGAGATTCAAAAGAAGCATCACACAGCACATCCCTCCAGCCTAGGGAGTGGGAGTTTGTGGGGCACGTTGAGCAGGGTTGCAGAGCCCCCTGGCGGACCATTGCTTGAGCACATTCATTTTAGCAGCTCACATTCTGAAAGGCCCCTGAGACTGGCTTTGACTTCAAGCAAGTCCTATGGGAGTGGGGTTACCATAGCTCCTTTTACAAGATGGGGATTAGGGGGAGAAGAGGGGTACCCACACCCTCAACCTGAAGGACAAGAAATATCTTCATTTCACCTCAGTGATGCCCAGCGCTGGTGGCAAGGCTGGTGCCAAGCAGGTGCATAATAAATGTTGAGAAGGAATAAACCAGAGGATAAATTAATGAATGAGAGCATAGTGCCTCCTCCCAGAGCTGCTGAAACGCATTTGAAGAATCAGAGGTATTGGATTACAGTGTCCAAAGAGACCCAGAGTAAAGGGTTGCGGTGGGAGTTAAAAGTGGGCAAATGGAACAATTTGAGAAGTCCTGTTTATAGAGTCGACAAAAGAGAGGCGTAAACAGTGTCGAAGACAACTAGAGGGTTTCTTGGGGCAAGAGCTCTGTGTGCAAAAGCTAGAGCAAACCCTAAGCATGCACTGAGTGGCAGCCTCTAGACACACTGTGATGCTTCCCCAGGTTTGTCAGCGGCCATAAAGGCCGAGTCTGTTATTTCTATGGCAGCATTAGACAACCCAGTTTCTGGCTTAATTTGGATCCGTAGCAGCCACCTCTCCCTTCCACCCACAAGTGTAACTAACCACCGTCTTTCTCCAATGTTCTCTTTTACAAAAGTAGTTACCTCTCTCATCTTTTCTATTCCCAGGGTGAATATATAGGAAATGACGATCCATTCCTGCGTGGAAGGCCAGCGCTCCATCTTCACTAACACGATATAGTTGAAGAGCATCAAGTATCCGATGTACGCCAGCTGTAAGGAAACACAATAAATAGCACGCTCTGGCTCCGAAGACCCAGGGGCCCTGCCCTTGCACAAGGCCACCACCCTGCAGGACAGAACAAGGTCAGCAAGCAGGACGCAGAATTCACGATGGAGTTAACCTCAAAGCTTTCAACTAGTCAAATAATAATAAAAGACTGTAATAACAGAAATCATATGATATGCTGTCTTCCTTTGACCCTTACGTGTGCCTCTGGGTCCCAGTACTTTGCTTATACCTCTGTGTCATGATGCATCCATTTTGTTTTGCAATTACCCCGTTTCTCGTGTCTTTCTAGCTAAAAAGGGAACCTCTTCCCTCAGAGCAATTCTTGCTCATGCCTGAGCCTCAGGTTCCTGAACTAGGGCACATGGTGGATTTGTGCCTAATGGAGGCCAGGTAGATTAAATGTCTGTAGGAAGGAAAGGAAGACACATACTGTACTTGTAAACGGGTCAAACCAACGTGAAAATAGACTGGACTTTATCTCGAAGTCCCACTTGAATTCTTTTCTGATATCATGTCTTCTTCTTCTTCTTCTTTTTTTTCCTCCTACCTTAATGTGTTTGGCTTGGTGGGACCCTGGGAGGGTTTTATCTATTTTCCATTGCACCACCTCCCTACCCTATCCAAGTTGGGATATTCCTCCCTGGTTTCTGCTTCTTCGAAAGAAAACAAGAGAAGATAAAGCGATGTGTGGAAAGGAATGGATCTATGTGGCTGACCGTAGCTTGGAGTGGGATGTAATCCTCACGAGGCTTGAATCCTGGTTGAATCTTGACAGGACTGGCTGAAGTGCTAGGTGTCTGAGGAAAACTCAGGGCTCAGGTTTGGTGACTGTCACTGGAAGATTCAGTTATATCTCGACGAGTAGGGTGGAGTGGAGGAGGGCTGGTGAGGTTCTTGCACAGGGGACCGAGGAACCTCTGGAGAAGAAGGCCCCCTCGGGGAAATGGCATAGAAGCTCAACCTTTTCTAGGCAATGCTTCGAGCTGACTAAGATGCCCGCTGGCCTTGGGGGCCTTCGGGGCTGTGAGTGGGAACTGAGAGTGAGTCTATTCCTATCTGCCCTCTTCAGAGCCCACATGGCAAAGAAGAGGACACAGTGTGGGCAAAAAGGTTGAGGCCTTGGAGGTACAGTGTGGCTTTGGAGCCCTGGTGGGCAGCTTAGCAGGTGGAGAAAGGCGCAGCCTGGCTGGGAGGCAGAAGGGGAACTGGCAGCCCTACAGAGCTAAAGACAAGCTGCCTTCTCTGCTAATGGGGCCACTCACTCTCTCTCTTCCTTTCTCTCCTTTTTCAGTAAAAGGGATACATAGATTCTTAATAGGAGTCAAAGGTATTTTTAAAGACCCTGTTAGCGCCGGTGCATTTACAGACACAACCCTATAATTTCTCATCTCTGGCAAGGTGAACAGATGTCAGAGTTCCATTAGATGAGGTGCGGAAGCTGTGGAGAGGCCGGAGGGCCAGGAGGGCTCATTCTCCACCTCGCGGATGCGCTCTCGTACGCCTACCCCTTCAGGGACTGTCATTCTGTTCCACGCCTCGGGTCCCACCCCTCCCCTTCAGGATCATTAGCACCCTCTGCAAACCTCACTTGAGAAGTCAGCTCTACCTAAAATCACGTAGGATGCTGTTTAAAATCTAACTTGGTTCATGTGGTTCCTGTTTTCCATTATACACTGGCATCCCACTCTCTGGTCCCCATGAGTATTTCTCAAGACACAGTGGACTTCAATGGCTAAACTCTAAAACATACTCTCAGCCTCCTTCCGGCCTGAAATCCTTCTTTCCGGTTGCTTCTTTTTGTTTGTTGGATCCCATTCCATTGCTTCTAGGAGAAACCAATCTCCTTAACTGCCCTGGTGTTTAATATTTTACCCAATTCATTGCAACACATTCCAAAGCATTATCTTCTCTTGTCACATGTAGGCGCAGCGACACCCACACCATTCTCCCAGAACCTCGGCATTTTAGCATTTAACTCCTCCAACCTGCCTCTGTCCTCTGAAAACAGGTCTAGCGTATTCGTTTGGTGGAAGGAATGGAGACACCCAAGTCAGTGAAATTGGGATTTAAGTCCTAGCTCAGGTCCTTCCAAACTGTATCATTTTGTGTAAATCACATCACCTGCCTGGGCCTCCAATCCTGTGATGATAGCTACTGACCTTACAGAGCTTTGGAAAGGATTGTGGGGGGGGGAGAGTGGGGGGAAGAATGTGTATCTCCTTCCTGACAGTAAGGCCCAATGAATGGTGGCTACTGTTATTATTTGCCTCCTTTTTTCAAGAAACTTCTATTCCTCTTGTCTCCTCTCACCTCACTCCTTGCTTCCTTTTGATCCCATTAACTAGTCATACCTCTCCTTTTCTAAACTGCCCTCCTTACTGTTTATGCTTCTTCCATGATCAGCCTGTTCTTTAAATCCCAGTTACTCTATAATGCTTTTCCTTCCATAATCAGGCTACAATATAACATTTTGGGACAACTCTCAAAATATGGACTTCCAAAAATACAGCTTTAAACGTGTTTAAATGGCTCAACAGAGGACTGGCAGCTGTCTGGGAGGCAACCTATCTTAGAACTCACCAACATTCATGGGATCTTTGCTGCAGATTACCTTAACATGACATGCTTTCATGCGTGCGTGTGTGTGTGTGTGTGTGTGTGTGTGTGTGTGTGTAGACACGTACACACATATCTTCTGTAAGCTTTAACAAGCTCTGTGTAGAATGTCAACGTTTTGAACAGAAACATAACCTTATGACTCTTATTGAAGTCAGTGGGAATCCTATAAGGGTTTGTATTTTATTGGCTTCTATATTCTTTGTATAAATTTACCATTGACCAAGATGCACAACTCCTAAACTATGCAACGCAAGCCGCACAGCCTGCGGCAGGTTGCGTGGATCCCTGGTGGGCCTTTTCCCACTGCTGCTGGAGAGTGGAGGGGACACGTGGCATTGAAATGGAGGAAGGAGTCTGTCACTGCTGGAGGAGCCCAGAGCATGTCCCATGCGCTCTGACTTGGGTCCTCTTTTATACCTTGAATTGGCATCCTCTCCAACTGGGCACTTGAAATGGCTCTCATCACAAACCAGGTCCGGGAGCCAGTTGAATCCCTGCCTCCTTTCTTCTTGGAACAGAAGAGGACCTAACCTGCTCTTCCGGAAGCTTGCTAAGATATTAGAAGTGAGGTTATGAGGAATTGAGGTGTGTCCTATCTTTCAGAAACTTGAGAGCATAGAAGGGGATATTTTTTGAAATCAGAGTGGGAAATACTCTTACAGAAAAGAACACAACCGAAAGCCAAGGGGACCTTTGATCTAAAGCTGAATTCTACTGTTAAGCCTCCCTGGGGACTTAAAAATTGGGTGCTCCTCGTCTCCGTGTACTTCCTTGAGGCCTGGGCTTTGCAAATGCATAAACGTGGATTTCTGAAAGTCATGTGAACACAACTGAACAGGACTGGGGCGTCCTGTCTACAGTCAGCTATGCAGAAGGGAGCTGGACACACAGGCTCCCCTTCTCAGAGGCAGCTTCACGACCTGCGACTAATGATACAAGGAAAGCAGTGTGTCCCCAGGCTCCCCAAACCGCAGGACTCACTTGGGCAGCTTGTTAAACCTAGAGCCTCCTCATCTCCTCCTTGGAGATTTGATTTCATGGGTCCGTGATGGGGCCAGGATTTGCATTTCTAACAAGATTCTTTATCATCAAAGAATTTTGGGAAAATACTGGGCTAAAAGCTCAGCCCTCTGTCTGGGGCAGTGGTTCTCAACCCTGGCTACCCATTACAACTACCCAGGAGCTTTGAAATATCCCGATGCTTGGGCTGTGCCCCAGACCAATTATGTCAGAATCGCTGAAAAGAGAACCCAGGTGCCTTTACAAAAATAGATGAAGATAGAGATTAAATAGAACCCAGGTGTTGTTTTTTTCTTTTTAAAGTACTCCAGGTGGTTCCAATGTGTAGCCGAGCCTGAAAACCACTGTCCAGGGCATTGGTTTAAAAGCATCCTTGGCTAACAAATTGCCACAGCTGAATAAATGGGGACCAAGGGAATCAAAGAAATAAAGTTAATACCGAACAAAGATCAAGGGAAAAAAGAGATGTTTTGTAAGGATAAGAGAAGGGAGTCCTGTATTTGTAAAGGTGATAGATAATTCTCGATACTATTGCTTCTCCTGGTTCCTTTACGCTCTAGGTCGGGAGTTAGCAAACTTCTTCTGTAAAGGACCAGAAAGTCAATTTCTGAGGCTTTGTGGGCCTGAAAGTCTTTATGGCAAGTAATTGACTCAACCCTTGTAGCACAAAAGCAGCCAGATTATAGGTAAACAAATGAAATTCGTTGTGTTCCAATAAAACTTTATTTATGGACACTGCAGTGTGAATTTCATACAATTTTCATGTGTCATAAAGTGTTCTTCCTTTGATTTTATTTTCAATTCTTTAAAAATATAAAAACCATTTGTAGCTCACAGTCCACAATACGGGGCCTGGATTTGGGACTGGATTCACCCTGTGGGAATGTAGTTTGTGGAGCCCTGTTCTAGGCAGGGACAGTTGAGGCAGCCTGGTATAAGAGGAAGGACAGGAATGGGTGGAAAATGCAGTAAAATTATTATCTTGATAAAACTGTTAGTCTAGGGAAAGTATATGTAAAGCACTTATAACAGTGCCTCACAGTAGGTGTTCAAAGAATGATATCATTATTGAGTGGATGGATGAATAAAAAACACTATCGCTGTGCAATGTGACTAGCCTCGGAATAAAAACAGTTACATTTATATTGTGCTTACATGTTCCAAGCACTGTTCTAAGTGCTTTACATATTTTAACACATTTAATCTTTCCTAAATCCTACAAATTAGGTACTATTATTATCCCCATCTTAAGGAAACTGGGCACAGAGCGCTCAAGTAGCTAGTTTGAGGTCACACAATAATACTGAGAGGCACAGACAGGATTTCTGTTCAGCCTGTCTTACCCCAAAGTCCATGCTGGTCACCACTAACTCGTTTACTGCAAGGTAAAAATCATATATATGTAAAATACATAAATCAAAATTATTTTTGCAAGTCTTACTTTTTTCAGAGGAGTATTTTTTTGTAATATTCATAAATTTGAGTTTTTACTTCACTGAAAAAATCTGGTAATTATATTTTGATTATATCCTCTTCCAAGACCTTGGTTGAAAGCAGTAGTTTTCAGCTGGTGGCAACGTCAGCCCATAAGGGGACGTGTGGCCATATCCGGAGACTTTGTGGTTGTTACGCCCGGGGGCTGGAGACTGCTATGGCATCTAGTGGACAGAGGCCAAGGCTGCTGCTGAATGTGCCATGATGCATAGGACAGTCTTCCTTCACCAAGAATCATTCTGCCCAACACGTCAAAGCGCTGAGGTTCCGAAAGCCTGATTAAAAGCCGGCGTTAAGTGTTAGCATACAGAGCCACACAGAACAAGACCTCAGCTAGTCATCTGAGTCATCTTGGCCTCAGACTCGGATTTTCCTTTGCTGACTCAGGTGACTGGTGTGTATGTAGCTGGTTGTGAGAAAGGCCAAAAATACAGACACCCGTCCTTCGCCTGGGACAGTGCCACCGTGGCTGGGAGAACAGAGCTGACGTGGGCCCGAGCTCACCTTCGGCTTAAAATACCATGAAACATAGAAGTGGAAAACCAACAGTCGAGCCATTTCTACCATATCCAGAGGCTATTTCAGGGACCATCTTTCATCTCGTGGGCAGAAAACTCTTGCGTGGTGGGCACTGGACTGTCTTTGCTGTGACTGTAGGTTATTGTGAGTGGTTTTTGCTGCTTTGGTTGGCATGTTGTTTAATTGTGTCTGAGCAAGAAAGGTTGTTTGATGACACTCCTAGGTTGGCAGTAGTCACACACTTAGGCTACCCCCCCTTTAGTGGTGTTACTTTTAACACTCTGCTCAGCCCTTACCCTTCACGTGTTCCCCAAACTCAGGACTGGCATCAAAAATGGGCAACTCTGATCCAGCACTCATCCATCCAGAACACAGAAGTGTTTTAGAAAATGACATCTATTTTCCTGCTAGACTAGACTCATACTCATCTCACCTCTATTTCTGTCAGTTCTCACTTCTACCATTTCCTTTATTTTCTGCAAGGAGGAGAAACGCAGACACTGTGGAAGCTGCCTCGCAAACTCCACACATCTTGCAGAACATTGGGAAAAGCTTTCACTCCTGCCTGTGCGATCCTTACATTGTGACTCACAGAGGAAACCGGGTAGGTGCATGCGAACCTGACCTTGACTCTCTGTGGTCATCCATGAGGAAGACGGAAAAGGAAGATGCTTACCGTGTAGAACCAGAACTTCACAATGGGTGCGTTGTAGAATTCATAGATTTTTCTGCCCAGGGGGATTAGCCTGTGTCTGCTCTGAACTTCCTCTTCATCCTTCTTTCTGGAAGACTCCCCGTTGTTTCGTCCCAACATTGCCTACAGTGGAAGAGAATCAATACCATCATGGCAGGGCTCTGGGGAGCAGGTAGTTTAATGTGCTCATTTTACAAATCAGGAATGCATGCTCATAGAGTTAGAGAGTTTTGTCCAAGGTCCCCAGAGATTCAGAGGTTGTGCCTTCCCTAAGGGTGCATTTGCATTATATATAGAATCAAAGGTTTTTGCCTGGGATGGAAGGTCTTAGGGATAGCTCTTGATTACTCTCTTTTCTTCTACCCTGGAAGCTCTGGAAGATGTCCATGAGGGAAGACACCCAGAGTTCTGAGAGGGAGAAAAATTATAGCCTGAAAAAGCAAGAATCTGTTTTTTCTTTCCAGCCCCTCTCCCCATATATGTAATGAGACAGGCAGATCTGGATTCGAATTCTGTCTTCAGTCATGCTAATGACTCTTAAGTAAAAAATACACTGGACCAGTAATACCTAACTTACCCAAACATTGTGAGTGTTCCAGAGGCTAAATTATCTGGAGGTGCCTGGAGGTTAGTTAGATGAGAAACATCTCCTCAACCCTTAGGCATAAACCTTGGTTCCTTGATTTCAAACCCCATAAATCCTGAATTACTGCTGGTATCAGTTTCATGGCAATTCCTAGGCATACCACCTTCCTCTGTGTGGGGCAGTCAGCCAAGTGGGACTAGGAGAAGCAGGGCCCGACCTGGAGAGGCCTCATCTCCAAGCTGTTGGAAGTTTCTTTACAAGCACAATTGTTTCCTTCTCACTCATGGCAATGGAAACAGCAAAAACCGTGATTGAACATCACAAAAAAGGCAGAATTTGAGGAAAGGCAAATGCACACCTCTCTGGGCAGCAAGTGAAGGATAAGTGTCCCAAAGATGGCTGAAGATCCTATTGGTGAAGAATTCCAGACTTTGGGTCACTCAGAAGGAAGACTGAATCCTCTCTTGGGTACTCAGAATCCATGGCACCTTGGGAAAATCTTTTAACCTCTCTGAATTCTTTATCTTTAAATTGGGGTAATAATAGCATCTTTTATAGTATTGGTCCATAAATCAATAAGCATCTGGCACTTAATAAGTGCTCAGTATATTCTAGCTAGTGTTTACAATGAACTGAGACTTCCTTGGATACTCTTGACTGAAATGATCTAGTTGGGAATCTCTCACCAGAAAAAAGAAAAGTGTTTTTTTTTTTTTTAAACTTTTTATTTATTTATTCATGAGAGACAGAGAGAGAGAGAGAGAGAGAGAGGCAGAGGGAGAAGCAGTCTCCCAAGGAGCAGGGAGCCCGATGCAGGACTCGATCCCAGGACCCTGGGATCATGACCTGAGCCGAAGGCAGATGCTTAACCATCTGAGCCACCCAGGCGCCCTAAGAAAAGTGTTTTATCAGGGGTCTAAAAAAGCATAATTTATTGGCTGTCCTTCCCTTCCTTCCTTCCTCCCTCCCCCTTTCCCTTCGTCTCTCCCTTCCTTCCTTCCTTCCTTCCTTCCTTCCTTCCTTCCTTCCTTCCTTCCTTCCTTCCTTCCTTCCTTCCTTCCTTCCTTCCTTCTTTCTCTTTCTCTCTCTCTGTAGGTTCCATGCCCAGCATGGAGCCCAACATGGGGTCCAAACTCACAATCCTGAGATCAAGACCTGAGCTGAGATCAAGAGTTGGATGTTTAACCGACTGAGCCACCCAGGTGTGCTGGCTTTAATTCTTTCAATATTACTCTAAAGCAAGGTTAGTTCTACAATGTTTGGGAGATTTTATTTTATTTATTTGTATTATTTTATTTAAATTCAATTAGTTAACATATAGTGTATTATTAATTTCAGAGTTCAGTGATTCATCACTTGTGTGTAACACCCAGTGCTCATTCCATCAAGTGCCCTCCTTAATGCCCATCACCCAGTTACCCCTTCCCCCACTTACCTCCTCTCCAGCAGCCCTCAGTTTGTTCCCTAGAGTTAGGGCTCTTATGTTTCACCTCCCTCTCTGTTTTTGTCTTATTTTATTTTTCCTTCCCTTCCCCTATGCTCCTCTGTTTTGTTTCTTAAATTCCACATATAAGTGAAATCATACAATAATTGTCGTTCTCTGATTGACTTATTTCGCTTAGCATAATACCCTCTAGTTCCAACTATATCGTTGCAAATGGTAAGACTCTTTATTTTTTTTTTTGAGGGAAATGAGACTTTTATTAAGTGTAAGAACAGGGCAAATCCTTCTAACTGCTCAGAAACTGGCAAGGATTTGGGACAAGGAAAAGGACAGGGATATGGGTTTACGGTTGAGACATCTAACTTTAGAAATAATTTGTTTATCTTGAATTTGAGAACAGATAATTCTGGTTTCAAACCACCTTACTCAAGACATACATATGTAAGTCTCAGCTACTTTTGCCAGTGCCTCACCTACCCGCCTACTCAAATATATAACAACCACAAATGATGAACCTGTAACCAGTGGGATTTCTGGAGCAGGTAACAGGGTAACTTCCATTCCTATATGGACTCTCTGGCTAGAAAGTTACCTTGACTTCATGAATAGGTAAGATCCCACTTGATGGCCTAACCAAGTCTTCCTTTGGATCAGTGAGCTGGGTCAACCTTCATGATGGATATAGCACATTAGACTTCTATAAATATTGACCACTGACCTCAAGAAACTCTGAAGTTCCATGGTATTTATCCTTCTATAATTTATAATTTATGTAACATAATTATCCTGCTTCTGTTCTACTTCTTTATCTGCTCAATAATACAGTACCCTTTGGGGACATAATAGGATGTTAGTAAAGGCAGCTTGGGGAGTTTTAGGCATCTTGGAGAGTGACATCTTGGGGTAACCTCTAGGGACAGTGGCTTCCCCAACAGAGTTGAAACAATGCCCTGGGTCCATGGACAGGCTGGGACTTTAGGAGGCAGAGTGCAAACACACTTATCTGGCAATGCAGGTAACACAAAAACAAAAACACCACAGCCTGTTTTGCCTTTATAATTCTGATACATTCCCAAGTGAATGCTTTTTTTAAAAAGCTTTTCTTTTGTGGGTTTAAGGAAAGCATTTTCGAAATTTCATTAATTCCAGCCTAAGCAGCTTAACTCACTGATTTTCTTGATTTCTCTTCCCAGTAGCCAAACATTTCCTTTGAGTACATTCCTTTAGCAGAACGTAATAGGGTCAAATACAGACAAAACTGCACAATATGGATTGAAGCATTTTTTGCTGGCTGGACACAGATGTCAAGTCTGGGAAAGATCTATGAAAGGCTATCAAGATGAAACTGAGACTCATATTTTGTGTATAATTTTGGAAGGGCCACGGGAAAACATCCCAGTCCAAGAAAGATGTTGGCTTAACACGGAAATCCAGATATTGTTTCTAGGAAAAGAGTGGAGGTGTCAACAGGCTGCATTCTCCAATCCTCCCCGGGGTGAGTGAAGACCAGTGACCCAGCAGTGACAGAATTGTCACTGGGGTCAAAGCAAGCTCCACCTTAAAGATATCTGCTGTCCAGCCCTGACTTTATCAGCCCACAAGTCCCTTCTTCCATTCCTCCCAGTTCTTTCTGCCTGTGGGGAAGAAGGCCAGGCAGCACTGCTCATGGGCTGGCTTTTACTTGGGTTCTCAGTAAACAACAGCAGGGCTGACTCTCTGGGAAGCAGACTTTGGACCAGATCCTCAAAGCTATACCCAGAGCAGGAGAAGGGAGCTGCTTCCTTTGTTTTCTTGCTTGAGACCCAACCAGAAAGAATGCTGATTCAGCACCAGGCCGCCTTCATAGGATCCTTCCTTGAGCCTTCAAGCCATGTTATACTTGACGTAGGAGGCCCATGCATTACTTTTGGGTTCTTTCTGCTATATGGTAGACAGAACCAACCGAATACCTACATTTGAGACCAAGAAGGAATTCTCTGCATCCCTGCGCCTACAGGCCTCCAAGCATGACCAGTGGGATCTCCATGCCTGGGTTCTAATCCTGGCCTTGCAACTAATTAGCTGGGTAACCTTGGGCAGTTTAAGTTCTCTGAGTCTCAGCTTCCTCATCTGTAAAACGGGATGATAATAATAGTACCTACCTCATGGGATTGTGTGCGGATTCCATGAGGAAGCGCACGTCAAACATTTGTCACTATTATCATAGTATTTGCAAACATTTGTCAAGGCTTACTGTGTGCCAGGCCCTGGTCTAGAGAATTTACATGTACACTTTTTAAACTGAAAAACCACCTGGGAGCTAGACAATGTTCCTATTCCCATGATAGAGGTTAAGCAACTGTGCCCCAGGTCCCACCATGAGTAGGTGCTAGAGCAGGATTCTGGCTTTACCCCTCTACTGAAGTGTTCAGTAAAGATTTGCTGTTATTACTACTAATGTTTCTGTTAATGCTTAAAATATCATTCCCTATCCTTGAAGGATTCAGAGGCCAACATTACGGTAAAATCTTTAGGGAAGACAGTCATCTGATCTTATCACAGAGGCAAGCCGACTTATCCACTCGTTTTAATAAGAATCCTGAAATGGAAAACAAACTTAACTCTGTGAGTCAAAACTGTGAATGATTAATCAATCAAAAGAGTCGTCAGATGCCTATGCCCTGCCCTGGGGTTGGGATTGTTTCCTTTAGGAAGGAAATATTGTTGATCTGGAAGAAAAACAATTTACAGGGTGGTCCCACTAGGATAATAATGCGAAGAGCCTTTTGTCACCAGAGCAAAACCAATTTTTGTTTTTTGGGTCATCACAGTCATGGTGGGGAAGGTGGGGGATATCAAGGAAGGCCTATGGAGTTGTTACTTGATGTCTCCAAAACTCTGAAGCCCTGTCTGTCCCTTTAATGGCATGTGATATTTTTAGACTTTGGGTACAATCCAGTAGCAGTCATGCTGCTCAGGCGGGGGCTGTGGGAAGCTGTCCCATGCCCAGCTGCCCCGTTCTCCCTGCAGAACAAAGCATCCACGTTCTATAATTATACCAGGGAGAGCTAATAAAAGCCTTCCATACAAACCTCAAAATTCAATTAGTCCTGTGTTTGTGAGCCTGACCCTGAAGACAGACAAAGGCAGAGCATCTGATCACCAGCACAGTTCCAGCCCGGGGAAGCTGGCTGCTCCCACCGCAAAAATGCCTTTGCCTCCTTGGTAGGTGCAGACCGCCCTCTCACCTGCTTGTGTATAAAGCATTGCCTGTTTGGAAAGCTGAGGGTGCCTTGCTTTTGAATTTCCCTGGGTTGTCCTGTGCCACTGACTCTGGCTGAAGGATTTTGCACAGAAATAGTCCCTATAGTTATGCTATTTATGCACAGAGAAGACCTTTTTATAATACCCGGGTCTCAGTACTTCAGTGAAGCACCTGGTTGGAGGGTGAGCTCGGGAGTGACTGAGACTTAAGCGGTAGCATCGGGACAAGTGGGTTAGGGTTGCTGCCCATGGACCATGACCGTGTAGTTTTCCTTACTGTCAGTTCCATGTCCTCTTCATCTTTTTCCTTCGTGGGCTTCTCTGGCTCTTCCGGCTCCTTCTCTTGAAGGTGGATTTCCTGGGCCTGAGACATATAGGGCATGTCGTCTTTGTTCTTGAACTCCAAGCTGAGAATTGAAGGAGGAAGTAGAATTCCCAGAATTACCTAAAGTAATAATAATGATAATAATAATAATCACATTTAAAGGATTAAGATTAGGGCGGGGTTTTTTTAGAATCAGGAGTGGGGGGGGTGTACGCATGCGTGCGTGTGCTGTGTGTGCCCCAAGCGAGGACCTACATATGTTACTGCCCGAGGGGTCACTCTTGCCCGTCTGAGAACTGTCACACACAGCGGTAGCTCAGCCCGATTTTGGAGAAACAGAGCATCTTGCTCAAATACATCTTACTCAGTTAACATCCACTTGGCACGGGGGAAACTGAGGAAAGTGACAGACCCTGCCCAAGGCAAAAGTGGGAAAGAATTCAGATTCTCCTTTAGCCATTAGCACTTGGCTTTGTGAAATCAATTCATACATATGTCCACTGGCATTTATTTGCTAACATGTCAAGTGGAGCTGATGATGCGTCATCTTGTTACTCTGTAAAAAATGCTGTCCTCAGTTGACCTTGAGAAAGTCCATGTGGGAAAGCATGTTTTCATTGCCGATTACTCCCCTGGCATCTGTTACTATAGCACACGCACACATACACACACACACCTGTGGGTTCAGTATTCGCCACGAGAACCCCCCTACGCAAAGACTCCAGGAGGCTCAGCACTGTGTGCCTCTCATGTATAAGCGACATGCTTCCATCTCCATGTGATGCTAATAAATACATGGGCCCTTCTCCTGAGAGGACGATCTTATTCTGCCTTTGAATGATAATTCAGGCATGTGACTTGTGCCCTCACCATCTTCTCCTGCCTCTCCTCTCGGTCACCAAACTGGTTCTGCTATACAAGGATTCTGAATACGAGCCTCCTTGAAGAAACCGCATCGAGGTGAGGGGCTCAGAGAGATCCCGAACAGTAAGTGAAAATGATCCTCAAGTAATGAGGCAGGGACAGCCTGTGCTTGAATGCCCACGGGGACTTGGGAGCAGCCAAGAGAAAAGGGAGGGTGGTGCCTGAAGTCGGGGTGCCTGGCAGGCCTGGGAAGGCTCAGGTGGCATGCTGGCAGCCTTCAGGGGACATGACACCCCGTCCTCGGAGCTGAGAGCCAGGCTTGGCGCTGGTGTGGCTGTGGAGCGCCCACGACCCACTTCATGGAGCCCTTCTGTGACTCTGGGCCGAGAGCCACAGGAAGGGTAGCATCGGAGAGGAGTGCTGGTTCCATCAGGGTGGCCTCAGCAAAATGCTCTGGTCTGATGGCCCTTCTGCTTTGGGCTGACCTCAGAGTTACCTAGAACAGGTAGCTCCAGGTAAATATGAGCTTGACTTCTGTTGTCAGAGCCACAAACTCTAGACAGAGGAAGCATTTGCAAACATTCTTTCAATTTTCCCTCCCATTTTTTTCTTTCTCTGTACTTCTTTCAGTTTAATGTCTGTCTTCCTTGTGAAACAGTACAGAAAACATAAAGAAGCAAAGCCACATGTCATCCTACGTCTTGTGCTTTCGAGCCCAGAGGTAACCACTACAAACAACTTATGGTGTATCCTTCCTGGTTACTTAACAAAATTACGTACAGATATAACTATGCATGTACATGCTTAAAAAAACAAATATGGACTCAGGCTCTATATAACTGGTCTACAACTTGTTTTTCTTCACTTAAGAATAGATTGGGATGATCTAGCAACATCTTTACATATAAATCCATCTCCTTTTTATTTCAGTTTAAAACATGTCTCAAGCATAGCTGCTAAGAGCCAGTGTCTCTACGACAAGGTACAAAGGAGGTCCAAGACATTCAGGCTCAGGTGGTGGTGACAGGTTGCCCAGTAAGGGGTTCTTGGTGCAGCATGGCTTGTGCCAGAGCAAATCATACCTCCTATAGTACCTCTGTGTGCCCATCACCTCTGGATCCTCTGCAAAATACTAACATCTGGGCATGCCATCTCTAGAGGTTCTGACTTAGCAGAATTTGGGGTAGGCCCTAGTCTCTATATGAAAAAAAAAACAACCCACTCTAGAGACTCTGGAGAAGATTCTGATACATAGTTGGGGCTTAAAACCAGCCTCCTGAGACAAGAGAATGCCCAGTCCCGCTGCAGACTTGGCTTGGTGAGCTCCAAGCCAACCCTCTGGTCCTCCTAGCCAACGGGGCCTCCTGGGCGTGCTGACCTTGAGGCCCGAGTTCTTGCGCATCCGGAGTCGGCCCATCCACATATCTGTGAGCAGCATCTGGCTGCACGTGTGTGCAATGAAGTCGCGGTGCTTGGCAGCCACAGCTAGCTGCAGGCAGGTGGCGTTGCTCCAGTTCTTCAGCTCATACGTCAGCAGCTTCATGGCCAGCTGCTCATCCTGCTTGTAGGACTGGTCTAGGAGCTCCACAGCCAGCTGGCCGAAGTCCCTGGAAGACAGAATGCGAGGAGGTGTCTTTTGGCCATCTTGGAGACTTAGATGATGAAAGCAGGGACCCAGTGGCCAAGCCACGGGAGGTGGTTACTGTGCGATCTCACTGTTTCATACAGGGTCTAGTCTGTTCATTCGTTCAGCTAGTCGACATCGACTAAGCATCTATTATGTGCTGGGGGCATAAGTCAAGCAGGACCTGGTCCTGGTACGCAAGGCCTGCAATTCAAGGCTACGGGTGGGGGAGGCAGACTAAAAATACCAACGGTTAGAGTGCAGTAGGTCTTCTTAACTGGAACAGACCTCGGTTCATATTGGAGCTTTATCAACCCCAAGTGTGTGATCTTGGACGAGTTATTTAATTCTCCCAGTCTCATTTTCTTCAGCTTTAAAATATGCACAGTAGGAGGACCTACCTCTTGAGGCAGTTGAGACGATGAAATAAAAATCTGTGTATCTTTATTACTTCTATATCTAGCACCGTGTGCCACAAATGCTAATTATTTGTGCCCACCCTCTGTGTGTCTGTACCACTGAGGCGATACTGCCTCCACTTAAAGGTTTGGGTAGCTAGGACCCTCCGGTGTTTGAGGCCCGCCTTCTCTTCTCGTCCCCCGATCACCCCACCTGCTGGGCTGGCCAACCTGGAGTTGTGGTTCAGCTCCTGGGAGATGTCGTCCACCATGTCATTCTCCGAAGCCTCGTGAGCCATGGCTTTGCAGAGCTTACAGGCCACCAGGGCCTTGGCCATGGCCTCCTCTCCATGCTGCCAGAAGAACAGGGCCATCTTCTGCCTCTTCATCAGGACAGCCCACACCATCAGCTCATGGAAAGGGAAAGGGAAGTGGTTGATCTCAGGGTCATCCAAGTCAATGTCCACCTCTTCTTCTCGCTTCTTGGTGGTCTTTCTTCCTCGCCTTAAGGGGACATCATCCTGTAGTTTTAGGGAAAAAACATAGAGGTGGAGTTAGAAATGAAGCAGTTAAAATTTTAAAATAGTTATTTATTGTATATCTATTATGGGTCCTGTTCTGGGATTGACAGAGAAATGAACTAGCCTATCCCAGCTCCTATCCTAAAAGCCCTCATGCCTAACTTTAAAACAAGTTATAATGAGTGTATAAGCACAACCCTATGGGATCATGCCAGTGTTATACTTAATTTTTTAAAAAGTATTTTTAACGGGTCATTCCCTTCCTCTCTTCTCTTCTCTTTTTTTCCTTCCTTCCTTCCTTCCTTCCTTCCTTCCTTCCTTCCTTCTTTCCTTCCTTCCCTCCTTCTTTCCTTCCTTCCTTCCTTCCTTCCTCCCTCCCTCCCTTTCCCTCCCTCCCTTCTTTCTCTTTTGTCCATTTTTTTCCTACAGGTAAGGCTATTTGTGCCTCATGATGGATAGCGCTGCCCTTTTCTCTGAAAGGACAAGGAAATCCTATTCTTGCAGGTGCATAAACGACAATACCCACACAAACAAAAGATGGAAAATGGGAAACAGATGATCTAGCTCCAGTTTCTACATACTTCTTAGGTGCATTTGTGAAGTATTTCTGGCCTTTGGATCTGTTGCCAGTTGTAAACACCCATGAATAGATTTCACTCACTGGGATTTATATGTTTCCTTGCTTTTCAAGTTAGTATTTCAAATAAGATTTATTTTCTTACTTGTAATGCTAATGCAACCTCGTGGTGGAATTTTCAGAGCTACTGTAACTTGTTCCCCCCTTTAATACTGGAAAAAAATTCCCTTCTTTATTTTAGAATCGCGTACTAAACCTTACCAATTAAATGAACATATATATGTGTGTGTATATATATATATATATATATTTAAAATGTATAATAAAGAGAATAATTGACATTAATAATTTGGGCATATACTTACCTCCATTCCCAGTAGTTTCAAGGCTTTGGGCTGTTTAAAAAAATGTTATACATAAAGTTAGATCTTTCTTTATAGAGGTAAGAAAAGAATCCTATTATATCTTAACCAGGTAATAGAAGAACTCTATTGTACCACACAGCATTTATTCATTTCACTAAATAAAACACCACAAGAGGAACCCATTTATAGAAATTCTAGGAGAATCAGGGATTTGGTGATTTTGGTGAATCACAGAGAATTAGAACTCCAGAGAGGCATAATGAGATTGCCCAAGGGTAGAGCCTGCAGGTTGGTAATCTCTTTTATGGACCAAAATTTCTTCCATCTTTCCAGAAACGTCCTGGTTGGCTGACATCTCCATGACCTCCAGCACTTGGAGCCATAAGTGAGCCATAAAATGTTCAGTCAAACCATAAGATGTTTCTCAAACCTCTGAAAGGCCTCTATTACCTGGAGACTTGGAATACTATTCAGAGTATGTGTTTAGAGGCTTCATGCCGGCCATCTCCTTATGTAGCTGTCCAGTAAAGCAAGGGTGAGTGGGGCTACAGAGGCATGTGCTGACCGTGGCAGAAGGTGCTCAATGACACGGAAAGTGTCAGCACATACAGTGGCATCATTGGTCATGCTGGGAATGTGCAAAACAGCCGCAGGCCAAGACGGAGAGAGAAGGCATCTCAGGGAATTTACAGAACTTGATTTATATCTAAGAAGTGGAGATACGAAATTACATCTCAGGGGTCAGGAATTCCAGTGCTGTGTTCTAAGTGTTACAGAATGGTTGAGCGCTAACTTGGAAGTTGTTCGGGTAACTAATAAGGTTACAGCACTCACCATTCCTCCAAATTTTATTTTGGAATAAAATAAAAGTAGGAATAGCCTGAAACTTCTCTCTCTCCCTTTCTTTCCCTTTTAGCTTCTAAAGTGACCACCAGTTTGAAATTTGTGTGATTTTTTTTCTCCTTATTTATACTTTTGGGTGTTTTCAAAGTGGTCTTCGAGCCCTGTCAAATACTTTCATCATCAGAAGATCAGCTGTGTTAAAAGTAGAAATCATGCCCCCCACCAGCTAGAGTAACAGTTCTCAAAATGTGGTCCAGGAACCATGTGATCCTTTCTGGGGCTCTGTGAAGTCAAGGGTGTTTTCCTAAGAATACTAAGATGCTATTTGGTTTTGACACCATGTTAACATTTTGCAGTGATGGTGCAAAGGCAGTGGTGAGCAAACTGCTGGAGGCCTTAGCAGGAATGAAGAAGGCAGTGACACCAAACTTTACTAGTTGTCATTAGATTCCACTGTTATGCATTTGAAGTTTAAAGACAAACAAAAAACCAGTTGTACTTAAGAAGTCTTTGATGAGGCCTAAGAAAAAATATTAACTTTATTAAATCTCTACCCTCGATACTAAAAAATGTCTTTTGACTATTTTGAGGGATGAAATGGGAAATGTGCATAAAGCACTTCTGCTACATACTGAACCAGGACGGGTTGTCCTGAGGACAAACATGCAGTTATTTGGATTATGGCCACACTGTTTCATGGGCAATCGACTTGAAGGAACGACTGGCAGACAAACCGTGGTTTACTTAGACTTGGACATTTGGCAGACATTTTTGGAAATGGCCGAAGTGGGTCTGTCATTTCAAGGAAAATAACTGATGGTATCTGTTGCCAATGACAAAATTTTCCAAGCAGAAATTACAAAAAATTAGAATTTTTGAAAACTTGCATATCCTTTCCCCCATGACCTGGACAGTTTTTCAGAAGTTAAAGACTTTTCTGATGAAACTGGAGGTGATATTAATGAAGGTGAGTTTTTGAAATTGTTTAATGAAATGTGTCAACCATCAGATCTACATAACTCAACAAACCAGTATTCTACAATGACCAGTCTACCATGTTCCAGGATCCATACAAAGTGTAAGCTCAATCAATGCATTTTAAAGTAGCAGAGTATGAAAAGTTCATTGATGTCATTTCAGATTTTGTGTTGCAACTAATCTTTAAGAAATTGCCAAACTGAGTTTTGATGTATGTAGCATCAAAAAAGAATATCTATAATTATCTGTAAAGATTATTAAAATACTCCTTCCTTTATATATATATGACACATATATGTCATATTTGTCACATATTTGTGTGAAGTCAGATTTTCTTTGTATATTTCAACCAAAACATCTGGCAGACTGAGTGCAGAAGTAGATATGAGAATCTAGCTTTCTTCCATTAAGCCAGATATTACAGAAACATGCAAAAAAATATAGAACAATGATACTCTTACCACAAATTTTTGTTTTTGAAAATACAGTTATTTTTCAGAAACATGTCATTTGTGTTAACATGTAATGGGCTTCTTACAGTTAATTTAAAATGAATTAATATTCATTAATAAACATTGTTAAGTCTTTAATTTCTAACACAATAATAGCGATCGATAGAACGCCCATAAATAAGAGCTTTTTGGGGTCTTCAATAATTTTTTAAAGGTATAAATAGATCCCAATACCAAAAATCTTGAAAAAGACTGAGGTAGATAAGATGAATTTGAATTTAATTATTATTCCCTGATCATTAAGGCTCACACCCAGTGCCAGTTTCTGATTTGAACTGGACCTAGTGAGGAAAAGAAAGGATGTATCACCCAATACATTGCCTTTTTTTTTTTTTTATGGATGTGATGGTGGAAGGAAGAGGTGGGTGGGCCAGTTGCCTTCTTATCTGATCTCTCCCTTGGAGATAAGGGGGCCACCTCCCCAATGTGTCCCGCCCAAGTCTTCCCTGGAGTCCAGAAAAGGGAACTTGCTGCAAAACTCACCCTCTTGGGGCCAAAGAGATTGTGATAGAGCGTCCGGAAGCGCTTGCGCGTGTAGTTGCAGCGATAAGCCCCGCCCATCAGGTACTCGATCACCAGGCCGATGTCAATCAGGCTGATTCTATAGTCTGGGGGCAGGTTCCCCTGCGAGGGAAGAACGAAACACATACACACACACAAACAAATCCAAAAGACAGCGTGGTTTACTAGGGATTCGATGCCATGTGTTCTGTAACTATTTTAGAGTAAAAAAAAATGAATTAAGAAACATATGAATGTAGTATTATGCTGGTTAATTAATTCACCTTAAAATAGATCCAACCGAAACCTGGATATTCTCGCTTGGAAAGAAGACATAAGTTAAATAAGAAGATGCAGTAATCGTCGGCAATAACAGAAAATCAAAATATTTATTCAAGTCTTCAGCTGGGGAGAAAAAAACACCAGTGTAGCAGAAAAAACACAAGGCTTGACATGGCAAATGCTCTGAGTCCTAGCCGCTAGCAACTCGGTTCCCCAAGCCTTCCCTGGGCCCCCTCCCAGCTCTGCTCTGCCTCTGACCCAGGCTTGTTACCACGCTCCTGCTGATCGTTTACTTCTTCCCACTGACTAAATGAAGACTCCTTCCAGGAGGTGATTGTTATTACCAGGACCTACATCGGGTGGGATATGCTAGAGTTCCTTGGCAAAACCTCTATTAACAATGAAAAAAAAAAAAACGAGCACTTTTTCATAAAAGGAGAGTGGATGGATGTCAGAATGAAGTCATTTATGAGCACCCCTTGTGGTTAAAGAGAAAGGAGGTGTCATGAGAAGAGATTTTATTGAGGGAATATTTGTTTTCCTGGAATTAAGGAGGTTTTGGATATTATCTTTCTTTTTTTTAAGTCAAATTATTCTTTTTTTTCAATATCATATTTTTTATTGTTATGTTAATCACCATACATTACATCATTAGTTTCTGATGTAGTGTTCCACGATTCATTGTTCGTGCATAACACCCAGTGCTCCACGCAGAACGTGCCCTCTTTAATACCCTGGATATTTTCTTTCAAAGAGAATAGTGGTTCTTAAACACTATTGTGTTTAAGAGAGTGATAGGGTAAGTTTTAGCTGCTTGCGTATATAGATGCAAAAACACAAGAGGTTTTAACATTGTCTACTCATTACTGGTTTCAACATCAAAAGGGCGCTCTGTATGGTCTAAGGAAAATACCTGTTCTTCTAGGTCAAGGAAGAGTTAATTCCATCTGCGGGAAGTTCTGAGCGCACCACGAGTTCCAAAGGGTGTGGATAATTAACTCACTGTCAGGCTCAGTTTTCTGATGGAGGAACGTGCTCTCTACCATGAATAACAAGGGTACTGCCCTGTGTAGGAAGCCCTGCACACTGTGTCCTTACATATATTTTGGAGAGGCGTGAGGGCTCTGTCTACTTTCGTCCTTAATGGAGGACCCACCCCGATGCTGTGTGAGATTTCTGCCACTTCACAGAAGCGGCTCATAGCCATGGTGGTGGCTCTCCGACTTTGGTGGCATCAGAATCATCTGGTGAACTTGGTGACAGCGCAGAAGACTGGCTTCAAGTTATGGGCTTCTATGAGCTTTATCAGCTCCCCAGGTGATTCTGAGATACGACAAAGTTTGTACTAAATAAGGTGGGTCAGGTGGGCTCACATGGCAGAACTGGAAAATTCATGGTGTATAAACATTGTCATTAGGAAATGAGCTTCACTTGTTTTTGCAGAACTGAGGGTAGGTTTTCCGTTATCCTTACTCAGCTTTGCTATGGCCAACAGCAGCCATTTGAAGGGGATTCAGGGCTTGAGGGGGCCCACTGTATCCTTCCATCAAACTATAGCTTTGATAGTGTTATTGATCTTTGTATTCCCAGGTGCCTTTTATAGTGACTGGTGTGTGGTAGGCATTCAGGATGCAAATGAGTGAAACAGTGCAATTCATCGACGTGGCTGGGATCAAGTCTCAGTTTCATGTTTCTCAGTACTGTGTTCTTTTCAGTAACACAACTAACTAGTCACAGTCTATGAGTTGTGTTTGGGATAGCCCCACGTCACTGTGGAAACTTGACTTGAAATACGCCCTGTCGGTATTTTCAGTGGGGTAGGAACGAAGGGATAGCAGTTCACGCACCAGCCTGTAAGCATAGGAGATGCTGGTGCTACCCTCTAGACTTGCTTGCTGCCCCTGACCAGTCCTACGCATCAGGTTCTACTTTTCCCTTGGCTTGGGGCACAAAGCAGCCTCGGGGGACCTCATTTGAGCCAGCTGAGCACAATGGGACAGTGGGAAGGCAGTCGGTTGCATTTGTGGTGGAAGCACCTTGAGGCACAGAACCCCTCCCATCCTTGAGCTTGGCTCATCAGAACCCCCACCAAAACGTCCTTTCATAAAAATGGCCTTATTCTCCTGCCTGCCATGCTCAGAATTTCACAGTCTCCTCTGAGGACCAGCTCATCAGTCTAACGGACCTGGCAAGGGGAACCTCCCCGCAGGCCATCAGAAAAGGCCACCTGCCTGACCTCTTTATGCAAAGCATGGCAAAAATAGAGAAAAGGGAACTTAGAGAAAGTGTGAAGATGGTAACTGTTCATGGATTGCCCTTTCCATAAACACGAAACAGTTTGAAAATATTCCTCATGCAACTGCTTTTTTCCACTGTTCGGGGGCAGGTGAACAAGGCTGCGAGTTTCTGTCTCGATGGGCTGTACCTGACGGTTAGGCAGGCCTCTTATTTCAAGAGTAGAGGAGCCCGAGAGGCTGGACACGCGCGGGTCAGCCTCCTCTCTTCTGCATTTGGCTCCCATAAGGATGACCTGCAGAGGAGGCCCTGCATTTGTGTTATTTTCCTGGGCACTGTGAGGCAGGCAGGGGAAAAAACACTGGCCGAGAATCAACTGCCCTGAGCTTCTTTCTGTCTGTCCTTCATAAATCAACCAATTTTCCTCAAAGCCTCAGTTTTCTTCCCTGTACAAGGGGTGGAGCTCGGTGGCCTCTATGGTCTATGATGCTCAAGTACCAGGTTGCAGAAACATCCCTACGAGATTTAGTGTGATGCTGTCGAAAAGCAGGATAGCAAGTCTACGAATTTGTGCCCATTTGCAATCCTTGTAAGAATTTTCTAAATTTAAAACACATGAGTAACAGCGAAACTAACCCCTATAGATTTTCTTTTGAGACACCAATGTGTGAACATCGGTTTGAATTCTAAGAACAAGACACCAATATTGCCTGAAGACCAATAGTGAGTGGTGATAATTATGCTTTTGGATTGTCTATATGAGTGGGGGTTATCAGGAAAGCGATCATGGTAAAATTCAAAATAATAAAAATTTGAGAGGGGCAAAGAAACGTTTTTTGCAAATGATTTATTCATAAAGGGCTATTAGGCTTATATACTACCAAAGAAGGTGCTGGAATCCTTTTTTGTAGGAACTTCTCATGTAAAGCTTGATTATTTTGAAGTGACTTCTACGGGATCTGGTCTCAAGCCAGAGAAGGGATTCAATGAACCTTCTGGGTTCTGCCCAGCTTGGAGCGCAGGCCTTAAAGGAAGTGGCCTGCCTTCTGTTTGACCACAAGGGGGCGATGTTCACCTGACCAAAGCCAATGGCGGTTCCACCAGCATTTACCTGCCTGTTCTGTTTTATATGTGTAACAAGGCGATGTAAATGAATATAGCAGATTGGAGGATTTGGAAATCAGGAGAGAGTCAGAGTCAGATGCCCTTGTTAAAGTGATATCTGGAGGAGGGAGAGCTTACTTTACCAAGTAATGTGTTTGAAAGGCTGCAAGACTGCCTCTGTTTTTTTTTTTTTTCCCCTCCAGAGGCTTTGAAAGCACAGAAATTAAGGGAAATTAGTTTCACAATTTTTACTAGGAAGAATGGAAATCTTTTGGGGAGGAAGAAATAGATTTCATAAAATTAATAAAATCGGGTACAATTTGAGCCTCTTGTGATACCTGTGTCCTGGATGACCCTGAAGGGGTTGGGAGCATTGGGGTATGTCTGACGTGCCGGGCTGACGGCCTTGGCCACCTGTGACCTTAGATGTCAAAGACGCAGAGAACAGCCTGCGGTATGACCCCGCAGTGGAAACAGCACTGGGCTGGACTGTGGTCCTAGCTCTGCCTTTCTGTGACCCTGGGCAGATCATTTCTTTACTCTGTGCCTCAGTTTACACTCTGAAAACAGGCACTTTGGACAGAGTTACTTCGAAAGGTCATGTCTATTTCTAAAGGTCCAATTGTCTGACCACTACCTGGCAGGCTGCTCTTATTTCTATGCTGCCTGGGCACTGGGCAAAGATTGTTGTCCAGAGCGTGCAGGGTTGACATAGTTTCTACTCATCGCCCCTGAAATGTGGTTAGTGGAGCTGAGGGCTCAGAGACAGGGACAGTAAAGGGCTAGACGGGAATGCTGTTGTGCACATCACATCCACCTCCTCTGGAAAAAGCAGAGAAAGTGAACAGCACCTCACATACCACAGGTAATGTCCAAAAACCTTCTGGAGGAGTCTTCCTTCGCTTGGGTGCTTTTCAAATAGGAAGCCAACAACGACATTGGAGTAATGCTCCTTCTGTCATTTCTGTTCTTCCCTCCTCCCTCTTTTGGTAATTACTTTGGTAATTGGTAATGCCTGAACGCTTATGTCCCCTTTCATGCCTCAACAACACATTGCAAGCCATGTGACTCAAACCATTTGATCCACAGAGCGAAACAGAGAACCTTGGCTCTATTGCCCTATTGACAACATGAAAATGTTGTCCCCTTTTCTCATGCCGTGAGCTACTTCTCTGAAGCTAAGTTTTAATCCATGCCATCCTACAGATGACTTTTAATGAAAAGAGTAGTTTAAATGCACGTATTGGACCTGCTCTTCTGAATATGCTCTTTTTCAGAAGTCAGCTCATGATATCACTATCAGATTTCAGCTGTTTAGGAAACACATTTTGTGGAAACTTATTAACAAGCCTTCAGAACAAGATTGCTTCCTTCCAGTGTATGTAGCGTGTAAAATGATTGCTGGTTGTTGGGTTTACCAAGGAAGGGTGGGCAAAAGTCTCTTTTAGTGAAAGTTCAAGGAAAAGAGAACATTCCCGCAATGTTCAGCTTGGTTATAGACCAGGCAATCTTTTAAAAAATAAAAACGCTTTTGCAAATCTGCATGAATTTGGCAGATGGGATTATCAAAATGTCCTTTCTTTATCCAAAGAGTGTCTTAAATTCTTCCCCCACCCTTTCATTCTGCCAAAGCTCTGGGTCTTAATTCCCATGTGAATGAATTTTAAACTATCATAATTTCACAACTATTTCTATATAATACTCAACTATCACCCTCCCTTGGTGGGGGATGATAGTACAGGTCATCTGAAGTATTAGCACATTTAAGTTAAGAAAGAAAAACTAGTACTTTAAAACATATAGAGGCACAAATCGAGCAGACAGTTAGCTTCTAAAAATAGCAAGTTAGATTTCACGGAAAAGCAGACAGACTCGGGCTGCTCTGGATTAATGTCTCATTGGTGCATCCAATGGATTTATGCAGGAAAGCGGTTCTGGGAACTGGGCTGGACTCTTATCATTTTAAATTTCTGATTGATGCTGTATAAACAACTTTTTACCTCCTTGCTCCTAGATTGTTCCCTTGAAATTAGTAATTTGAGATTCAGTTCTCCAAACTCAGTTCTCTCGATATCAAGGGAGAGTTGGACTTGGAGATAATCATGCTGTTAACATGGGACCGTTTGATGATTCCTAAATGCATTGCCTGGATTCCTAAGAGTCACTTGCATTTGATTTTCCAGATATATCATCGAACACGTTTAAGGTTCAGAACTAGGATCCTAACATAGGAGTAGCATTTTGTACCAGGGCTTATCACTTACTGGTTAATATTTTTTTGTCACAGATCACATCAACTAATAGGTAACATAAAGTCCTACAATCATAAAGCACAAAGCACATGCTAATTATCAAGTTCCTTAATTTTGAAAATTGCTTAAACTGCCCAAGATTTTCTTAGCATTTTAAACCTAGCTTTTGTAGACTTTGCGTATTGCATTGGCCTAAATTTCTGGAAGTCATCTGAAACCACTTGAGGAAGATGAGCACCAATGTTAATTTCTCTCATTTACTTTTTTTTTAAGTTTTATTTTTTTATTTGAGAGAGAGAGAGAGAGAGAGAGAGAGAGACAGCATGAGTGGGGGGAGAGGCAGATGGAGAGGGGGAAGCAGGCTTCTCGCTGAGCAGGGAGCCCAATGCGGGGCTCGATCCCAGGACCCTGGGATCATGACCTGAGCTGAAGGCAGACACTTAACCGACTGAGCCACCTAGGCGCCCCTCTCTCATTTACTTCTTAAGAAAACACAAAAACCCCTCATTTTTAGCTCCCTTCATCCATATTACATAAAACGTAGACACTTCCAGCTCCTTTGGTTCCCACTGTTATACCTTTTTGTTGTCCAAGTCAGAGGCTCACCTTTCTCATAGAAATAAACGGGAGTCTGCTTTTCCTGTTCCTCTCTCTTCCCAAGGGAAGAAACGAGAAACAGGCTGTCTGTTTCTCCCCACCTTATTGGCAATCTCTTTTCCCAGGTAAAAGGATAAATTGTTCCTAAGCCAGTTCAGAATTACACTGGGTCATCTGTAATCACTTCTTCCAGTTACTAATTCAGTACCTAAATGAATCCTTATGTATTTCTGTTCCAATATTTGGATCACACTGGAAAGAAAAATAAGACCGATCCTAATACTCCTTCCTCCCAAATCCCTACCACCCCATTCTTTCTCGTTATTTATATTACTTTTGAAGTACATCTTTAGCTAAGAAGTTAAAAAAAACAAACCCCTACCTTAAAAATACATGCCTTCTAATGCAAGTGACATGAGCCAATGTAAGAGGCAGCAAAGGGGATTTCAGAAGGGAGAAAATGATGTTGCAAAGCAGAGCCGTACAAGGAAGAGAACCTAAGAGGAGGGATTTTGATCATTTATATTCAGTGAAATCTAACTGCAAAAATCCCTTTGAAAATCAGGCAAGATATCGAGAAACTAGGGGATGAAGGTGAATCAGTGACTTTATTTGAAGGCTCAAATTGGCCACTGACTGAGATTGAGGGACAAAGGCACAGCTGTCTCCTCAGCAAGCCTCACAATTCCTGCAGGGACACAGACTAGCTCAAGGTGACGTGGGAGGGGATAATATCTTATTTATCATTTAAAAACTCTCAGGACATTTTATTGTACATGAGCGACAAATATCATGGCAAAGAATATGCATTAGGTGTGTACACTTAATCTTTCGAGATCCTTCCCCCTATTTAGTTTCCAGGCAATTTTAAGCCGGGGGAAATTACACAATATTGGAAGGCTTGTGGGTAAGAGAAAGGGCTCTGTTGAGGGCAGATGTGCTTCTGGCTCGAAATGGGGCAGATCAGGGAAAGATGTGATCTTGGTAAAATGGTGGTTGGGTTGGATGTATAGAATGCACAGCATCTGTTTCTCTTGCTTTGAAAGAACAACAGGCTTCATTCACTCACACAGATGAAAAATCCTTCAGTAAGGTTGTGTAGCGATGAGAGGAAAGTTTCCAAGAGCCAACAGAAGGTTTTTGTTTATTTTTTGTACCCTTCACTCGTTACTAGCAAAGGTCTAGTTGGTTAATAGGAACATTCTAAGCAGCCTCAGGACTTTTACTTGGCCTTTCAAGGGAAACACCCAAGGGAAGTTCTAGACAATGACTCCATATGAGATGAAGGAATTGTACTCTATTTTTGACCTTACTTTGTAGCTTCCTCTGAGTAGGTCCTATAGGCTTTGGTGAGTGGTGGGTGGGTGTGCATACGCATGTGGAGGGGGTGGGAAAAGTGCCCCCATCTATTTCCTCCTTTGGAGTTAAAACAGCAGTCTCTGGGAATGCTGTCAAGGATTTGGAATGAAGTTACCTCTAAGAGAGATTGAATGGGGCAGAAAAATAAGCACTTAGCTAAGATTAAACATAGCTTCCCTGCACCTCACTCTTCTCATCTATAAATGGGAATCATACTATATAATAATGATAATAAAATAATAATTCAACTTCATAGAATTGTCATGAAGATGAAACGAGCTGCGACGTACAGCAGGCTTAGATTAGTGCCATGCGCCTGGTCATCACTAAAATTTTATTATTGTTAATCAAAGGATCTGAGTTTGAATTCTGCCTCTTCCCTAACCATGTACTACAGTTCTCACCTCCTTACATTTCAGCCTCTGTATCTGTAAAATGGGAATAATTCTCCTTGATCCTAACCTCCTGCCTTTCCGCCCCCCCCATCAATTAGATGATAACATGAAAAAACCTACTGGAAAAAATAAAGTGTTAGAAGAATGGAATGCACATATGTGTTTTTGCCTCTGATACTCCGAGACTTTTTGAGCTACGCTTCCTGTGCTCTGCATAATGTTAGAAGTGACAGTGACGCATGGCATCAGGAGCTAGGACATGAAGATACCTCCTATGGTTAGTCAGACAACATGGAAACTAGCTCCCCAAACAGTGAGGGGCATATGGAAGAAAATGGGCAATGGCAGAAATCCACGCAGCGTGGGGCAAAGCTATCCAAAAATATTACATGTTCTGCTATCCAAAAACATTATGTCCCATGAAAGCATCTAAAACCACAGAGACGGGAGGTAAAACCGCAGCTGCATTGTAAGCAGAGTCATCGTTAAAAGGCGACATACACACAGTGCCCTGAAATGAGGGAGCTCGCAGGGACAGGCACGCTCTGGCAGCTCATGCAAAACAGAGGCACTTTCTAATCACAGGAAGCAGTCAAGACAGGGCCTCCGACCTGCAGTCGAGAGGGTTCTTACCTTTTTGACATCCCTGACCAAGTGGTACAATGTGTTTGAGGGCCCATGTCTCTGAAAACAATAAAGAAGAATCAAATGGTTTTGCTGGTCAGGGGCTCTCATTGGTAAGGCAAGAAGGATCTGGAAGGAAGGGTTCTGGCCGGCGGAGGGACAGTTCATTAAGATGAACCTTGTTGTAGTTGCTCAGTTGTACCTGCCTTTTCTAAACCAACATGCTGGCAGATTTTTGGATTGTGGTTCCTTGAGAAAAACCGTTTGAGGTTCTAGGTTCAAACTTTGTAAAGGAGGTTGTCAACCTGTGGACAGCTGGGCCCAAACATCATGAAAGGGGCTAGTTTTGAGGCGGGGGGAGATAAAAGGGACCGATTTAGAGCACTGGAAATACACTTCAGCACATGGCTGATCACAACCTGTTTATTACCCATAACAAATGAGAAATTGTCTAAAACAGGTTGGCAAAGTTTTCTGTGAAAAAGAGTCAATATTTTAGACTTTGTGGGTCATATACTTTTCATTGCAACCGTTCGGCTCTGCCATTGTGCAAAAGCAGCTGGAGATAATATGTCAACAAGTGAGCCTGCCCGTGTATCAATAAAACTTTATTTATGGACACCAAAAGAGAATCAAATCTCATATAATTTTAATATGTCACAAAATATCATTCTCCTATTGATTTTTTGCAATCATTAAAAAATGTTTAAAAAACCTTTTTAGCTTGCAGGCCATACAAAAACAGGCAGTGGGCTGGATTTGACTCTTTGGTAGCAGTTTGCTCAAATCTAGTCTAAAGAAAAAGCCACAGGCTCTTGGAAGGAAAAGAGAAGTTAATGTGAAATGACTTGCTATCCCTGTCATCTTTCAGGAATAGGAATGCTAGATAAGATACAGGATGCCCAGTTAAATTTGAATTTCAGATAAATAAGAAATAATTTTTAGTATGAGTATATCCCAAATATTTCATGGGACATGCTCATATTAGAAATTACTCATTGTCGACCTGGGATTCAAATTTAACTGGGCATCCTGTATTTTTATTTGCAAAATCTGGTGACCCTATTGGAGAATCTCAAATAGGGATGGCAAATCCTTCAGTGCTGTGGGAACACATTCAGGTATGGGTATCACCTCAACTCCCTGCCCATTCATGCGACATCCTTCTCAGAATTCTTTTTCCACTGAGGAATGCAGTCTGATATAGGGATTGAACACACAAACTCTGGAGTCAGAATGCCTGGCTCCACACCCGGCTCTGCTGCCTACCAGCTATGCCTATGTGCAAGCTCCTTATTATTACTGAGGCCATTTGCAGTCCCATAATCCTTCTTGACAGAGGTCTCTGGGGAACCACCACCAGTTGATTTGGGTGATGAAATCTATTGGCCTTTCTTGATCTAGAACTTTCCTACTTCCTTCTTTCCAATCATTGGAATAAATACATCACCTCGATTCTCTAACTGATATGCAAGTCATTAAACTCTGTGTTTTATTTTATTTATTTTACTGAAAACCCCATTTTCCCTAGCTTTATTGAGATATAATTGAATAAGACATTGTGTAAGTTGCAGGTGTACAATGTGATTTGTTTATCACAATTAGGTTAGTTAACACATCCTTCACTTAACATAATTACCATTTTGTTGTTGATTATGGTGAAAACATTAAAGCTCTAATCTCACAGCAACTTTCAATTATACAATATGGTGTTGTTAACTATAGTCTCCATGCTGTACGTTAGATCCCTGGAATTTATTAGTCTTGTAACGGAAAGTTTATACCCTTTGGCTAACATCTCCCATTTTTCCCGCCCTTCAGCCCCAAATATTTTGAGGATCCTCCAAACTGTGTTTTTATATCTGGCTCCCTTTTCAAATATTAGTTGACCATATATGCATGTGTTTATTGCTGAGCTTTTGACTCTGTTCTATTGGTCTATGTGACTATTTTTATGCCAATACCATACTGTCTTGATTACTATAGCTTCGTGAAGTAGTTTGAAATCAGGAAAGGTGACACTTCTACCTTTGTTCTTTCTCAATATTGCTTTGGATATTTAGAGTCCTTCGTGGTTCCATGTGAATTTTAGCATTGTGTTTCCTATTTCCATGAAAAAATGCCACTGGCATTTTGAAAGGGTGTTGGATCCAGGCCCAGTAAAAATTCCTATTGATGAGATTCCTCAGGCACCTCTGAAACATTAGAAAAATCTCATGACATTCCACACTACAGGAACCTCCCTATGTTGTATACAAAATAGGAGGCCACCTTTGGTATGCCCCTCGAGGCAAGCCCCTGGTGTAGGGTAACTTCCTTGCCCCTATTCCTCCCATTCCCTATACTGGAGTTGATAATGAGGACATAAACAAATGGTATAAGATTAAAGGAAAAAAGGGTGCGGGCATCATCTGACAGCCTCTGGGAAAGGAGTGATCCTCCGTGGTGTCTATGGAGCAAGGACAAGAGACAGACAGAGATGGAATAAGTACTTTGATAAAATAGGGTGCACCCATTGTAAACTGCCTTTGGAGAAAGTAGATAATCTTCATAGATCATGCTCTGTTTTCTAAATCCAAAATGATTGCGATAAAATGTAAAAAAAATAAGATCACATGGAAGAATGGAAAAACAAGGAAACACTAATGAATAAAAAGAGTCCCTCCAAGGCTATTGGGCGGGTGATGCTTGCAACCTGATCCTGTGTCCGTGTCTCCTCACTGCCGACGCCGTCCTTTCCTTCAAGGACCCTTCCCCCGCTGGAGCTGGACTCCGACAAAAGGGATTGTATTGAATCTATAAAAGGCTTTGGGTGATATGGACAATGTAACATTATTAACACTTCTAATCCGTGAACATGGGATATCTTTCCATTTATTTGTGTCTTCTTCAATTTCTTTAATCAATGTCTTATAATTTTTGCTTTATAGATTTTTTTACTTCTTGGTGAAATTTATCTCTAAGTATTTTATAGTTTTTGATGCTTTTGTAAATGGGATTGTTTTATTCTCTTTTCAGATTGTTCATTTAGTGTACAGACATTCAACTGCTTTTCATGTTGATTTTTTAAAAAGATTTTATTTATTTGAGAGAGCGAGAATGAGAGAGAGAGAGAGAGAGAGAGAGAGCACGCACATGAGAGGGGGGAGGGTCAGAGGGAGAAGCAGACTCCCTGCTCAGCAGGGAGCCCGATGCGGGACTCAGATTCTGGGACTCCAGGATCATGACCTGAGCTGAAGGCAGTCGCTTAACCAACTGAGCCACCCAGGCGCCCCTCATATGTTGATTTTGTATCGTGAAACTCTACTGGATTCATTTATTAGTTCTAATAGTTTTGTGTGTGTGTGTGTGTGTGTGTGTGAAGTCTTTAGGATTTTCTATATACAAAATCATGTTATCAGCAAAGACAATTTTACTTCTTCTTTTCCAAATTGGGTGCCTGTTTTTCCCTGCCTCCCTCCCTATTGAGATGATATGAGTTTTGTCTTTCATTCTATTAATGTGATGTGCATTTATTGATTTGCATATATTGAGCCATCCTTGCATTTAGGGATGGAATCCCATTTGGTCGTGGTGTATGATCTTTTCAGTGTGCTGTTGAATTTCAATTGCTAGTATTTGGTTGAGAATTTTTGTACCTATATTCATCAGGGATATTGGCCTGTAGTTTTATTTTCTTACAGTGTCTCACTTTGGTGTCGGTGTAATGCTGGCCTCCTAAAATAAATTTGGGAGTATTGCCTCTTCAAGTTTTTTGAAAAGTTGAACAAGAATTGGGGTTAGTTCTTTAAATGTTTGGTAAGATTCCGCTGTGAAGCCACCTACTCCTGGGCTTTTCTTGTCAGCAGGTTTTTGATTACTGATTCCATCTCCTTAACTTGTTATTGGTCAGTTAAAATTTTTCTATTTCTTCATGATTCAGATTTGGTCAGTTGCATGTTTCTGGGAATTTATCCATTTCACCTAGGGCTAATTATTGATCTTTTGGTGGGGACAGAAACTGGGACCTCCTACTCTATCATTTTCAGTCTATTCATACTGAAAGTGTCACTATGCAGAAGCAAGAAAAATCTGCAGAGAAAACAGACACCTGGAGCCGCTCTGCTAAACTGTTTTCTAGCTCTAGCAGCCGGAAGGAGAGAGAGCCAGTGTGGTACCACCTAACACCCACCACTGGCTGGAGGAAAGGTCAATAAGCTCTATCTCATTAGGGCTGTGCATGGGGGACGGAGAAGCAGTGACAAATGAGGGGAAGAATAACCTCTACCACAGAAGTGGTGGTTCAGTACTGGCTTTCTTCTTTACTTAGGAGTTTTGTGAACTTGAATAAACCAATTCACTTCTTGGCCTTAGTTTTCTTATCCGTAAAATGCAGGAAAACAATACCTACTCTTTTTCTTAATATTCCAAGTAAAAATTTATTGATCTTGATTAAGAAGTCTTGCATATTTAATACTGCTTCTAATGTATCATAGGAATTACTTCCCAAAAATGCTAATCACAGCTGGACTGAAAGAGTGTTTGGGAAATGTAGCAATGTTGTTTTTATATAAGTATAAACCACATTATAGTCTACTGGAGATCCAAAGGGATTTGCCTTTGTGGAATTCAAAACAAAAGAACAAGCAGCGAATGCTATTGAGGTAGGTCCAGAACCTTCGGGAAGAAAGATTTCTTAACCTTCCTGAATTGTACTCTCCAAGTGGCCTGTTTCCTCTTGAAGTTTCCAATATCTACTCTTTAAACGTCATTGGATTTTAGTGAGTATCAGCTCAGAGCCAACATACTTAACTCACTGAATACTATAAACAACTTCCTAAATAGTAGTTTTTCTTTATGATTACTCCTTGGTGTCCCTAGTAAATGAAGTAGCAAATTATTACAAAACAATACAAAAAATATTTTGTGTTAACTCCAAGCAAGGGGTATTGTACACTTTATTCCATTATAGAGGAAAAGGAATGAATGTCATAGCTCTGAGGACAACAAGATGGTGTGGGATAGTTAATCGGTCTCCTTTGACACTTTTAATTAAATCAGTTCTCCTCTGCTGATTGCCTCAAATGCCCTCTGGGCTTACAGCATACACTGTGTTCTAATTTTCAGAGCCTCGTGGGTTTGTGTAAGAATCTGAGAATGTTAGCTTTTGGTGTGATCGCATAACTCTCCCCCTAGATGCTGACAACTGAGCAGTTAAAACAAGTGGAATCTTGGTGACTTGGCATTGTTGTCTAAAGGTCTAAGGGAACACTTGTGAAAAATGATCCATGCATTTGGAGGGAAGGGAAGAGACTCACAGGCGTGTGCAGGGGCAGGAGAAGGTAAAACAAACAAACAAAACACAGAGAAAATAAAAAGTGCCTTAGGTTGGTCCTACCGTATTGTACAATTCCTCTAGTCTGGAGATGGTGAGAAAGCGGTGCATGCTTACTCCATTCTCTATGAGTAATTTCACAAAATCCACTCTGTCCAGAACTAGGGCATCCAGCATGGCTTGCTCCAAAGACCCCACCTGCAAATCAAGTCACTGAGTTAGTCTGCCCCAGGTTCTAGGGATGCAGTTCCTTGGTGTTCACCTGAACAGTTTAGACATGCCTTTGACATCTGGTAAACCTTCAACACATCCAAGAACATGCTAGCAAGACTGTTCCCAACACCACTTTTGGGACAGCCACAATCTCGCTTGTGTTTTGGGACCTGCCTTTGCAAATAGAATTCAAAGTTTTCTAGTTCCAAAAGCTATTCCCTCCTTGACTCCTTTTTTTTCCTTCTGGATCCTAGGAAGACGCAGGGTATACAAGAATTTTCCTTGTATTCTCTGACCAAACTTCTGCAGTACTAGTGAAGTGCCAAAGTGGGTACTTTGCTGTCCTCCTTTTCATCTTCCTGAGGCTCTGAATTAGACCCCCACTACCTGAAAAGAGGGACCCCAGCAAAAAATATACAGTAAGTAGGCCCTTCTTTATTTTAATTAAGTGCTAGACTACCTTGCTTCTGCCTCACCCATTTCTATGCAGAGATGAAGCAACTATTTAGGTTCTTTGGTCTGTTTACCAGGGTTTTATTCAATTCATTTCACGAAAAGTTCCCCGTGTCTATACTCCTTGACAAATCTTTCCACACTAGCCATCTACTAGCGGCACTAAATAAAGACAGGGGTTTCATGGGGGGCTGGGGGGGCAGCAGCTCTGTGCGGGAAAGACAGGGTTAAAGAAGACCTGTCCATGAGGGTATTGCCCTTCAGTTATTCTAGCACAGAAATCAAATCTCAGACTGCTGGCTGCCTCCTAGGGATCCAGGCACCAACCACCCAATTGCCAATTTTCCAAGTTTTTAATTTTGGTAATGTCGGTTGAGGGAAACAAACCAAGAACAGTTATATAAAGCTTTGGTTCCCTCTGTGTGGTGCTTGGGAATAGAGAGGACCTGTGCTCAGCCACCAGGACCAGATGGTACCTGCATGCGGGAGCTTGCTAATCCTGCGTCCTGAGGTGTGATGGAGCCATACGCTAGCATGGCAGCAGCAACCTCAGAGACAACCAGAAACAAACTGCTAGTTCTATGCCTTCCTTCACTTTCACGAACAGACTTTTGTCTTCTATGTTTTCTCAGACGTATGGAAGAGATGGCATCATTTGCAGCTGAACGTTGCCATCAGAGGCCACCCGGAGATGGGAACTGTCTGGAATGTTTGCAGTTGTGCTTTGTCATGGCGTCAACCAGGTGGCAGTGTTTTCCTAAATATGAGAAAGGGGCCCTGAGCCCAAGGAGGGCTACCAGGGAGGGAACATCTGCATCCTAGAGAAGAGGCAGCAGCTTCTCCGAGCTGCTCTCAGACGGAGACTCCTTAACCAAATACCGTTGCCCAAGCAAGTGGGCTTTGCAGGGGTGGTGACATATACTCTACCGGCCACTGCTGCCCATAAATAAAGATCTGGCTGCGAGCGATGTCCACTCTGTTCCAGGCTAGAGCTAAGCTCAGCTGGTCTGGGGCTGAGGCATTTGTTCCTGTGCAGACAAGGAGGAGGAAAGAGTGGGAGAGAGAAAGCAATGATGAGTTATTATACCAAGAAGACCTACTCCACGACTCTCCCATCAACATCCCCTCTTCCTGAAGAGTGGACTCAGCTGGGCAACAGGGCTTCTCAGACGGGGCACTACTGGCCTCTGGGGGCAGGATAATTCTCTCCTGTGGGGGCTGTCCTGCACATTGTGGATTATTGAGCAGCATCCCTGAATTCAACCCAGTAGAGGCCCATGACACCCCCACCCAAGTCATGACAATCCAGGATGTCTCCAGACACTGCCAGATGCCTCCAGGAGGAAGGAAAGAGACAAAATCAGCTCGCTGAAGACCACCGCTCAGCACTGTTGCTAGTCCACGTGTGGCCCGTGGAGCTGAAGCTGCAGCAGCACCTGGGCGCTTGCTAGAAATGCAGATGCTCAGGCCCCACCCTAGATCTGCTAAATCAGAATCCGTATTTTAACAAGGTCTCAGATGATTCATGCGCACATTCAAGTTTGAGAAGCAGGACTCTGTAACACGTGTTGTTTCTGCTGGCTGATCACTGGTGCGAAGCGTTGCTCCCATTGTATGTTGCACAGGGCTATGCCCTTGTCAACTAGTGGGCCAGCTTGGCCAGTCTATAGAAAAAGAGTTAAGATCTTTTAAGAGAAAGGCAAACAAGTGGCTTAGGTTTTTTTTTGATTGGTGGGTAGAAGCCACTGGAATAATTTCAGTTTCCTGTTATTCTCCAGAGTCTGTGGCTAGACCTGTGTGGTTCACGAGTGGCTATTTAAATCTAAATTAAAATGAAATACAACAAAAACTTTAATTCTCCAGTCACACTAGCCACGTTTCAAATGCTCAGGAGCCATATGTGGCTAGTGGTCTTTGACTTGAAGAGTGCAGATTCAGAACAGTTCCAACATCCTCGAAGGTTCTGTTGGAAAGGGGCTGGTCTAGATCAATGCATCCTGTCAATAAATGCGAGCTGCCAAGCAGCTGGGTGTGAGGCCTGAGAACGGGAGGTAGAGAGAACACTGGGCTACAGTCAGGGGACCCACGCCTGCCATTTTACAGCTGTGTGACTTTGGTCCTCTCTGTACCACTGTTCTATCACCTTGTGAAATGGGAAAAATAAGAATGATCCCGTTTCCTGGCTGGGATGGGAGACTAGAATGAGATCATATAAATGAATTCACATGTGAACTGGGTTTTTGCAGTTAATACCCTGGGTACCCTGACCAGGACCCATCCCTAAATATTTGCCTGACCCCATGCTGCTAGATGTCCCACCAGAGGGGAGCAGGGTATAGAGACAGCGCTCTTACCTGCGTCAGAGTTTTTGGACATCTACTGTGTGCTAGGCAACCTATTAGGCACTTACACGTGTTATCATATGTAATGTCCCAAATAATCCTGGGAAATGGGTCTTACTGTCTCTGTTTGACAGATGAAGATACTGAGGTCCAGAGAGGTTAAAAACCAAATAGCTACTAACAGAACGGAAACAGAAGAGGCATTCATCATGCCAGACGTGAGATTCAGCCCCAGTGAGTTTTCCCTTCATTCCACCTCTGCTGATTCTGATGTTTGTGAGGGAGGGGTGGCTAGCAAATGCTAGTACTGCCCAGTTTTCTGGATTCTTTAGCAGTGGAGGCTCGAAGCAATGAGCAGCAGATAGGGTTGCTGGTGATAAAGCAGTGATTCACAAAGTCTGTTGCACATTAGAATCACCCGGGCAGCTTTTAAAACATCCCTACGCCCAGATTGCACCCCAAAACAACCACATCCCATTGGTGGGGTGGGAGCCAGGCTTTGATAGCTTTAAAAATCTCCAGGTGTTTCCAATGTGCCCCAGAGCTTGGGAACCACTGTGCTACATGATTCCGTCTGCTGCCTCCCCTTAACTCTTCCTTCTTGGCTCTGAGATATTAAAGTTAAGAATTGGGTGAGCAAAATGCTCTCTAGATAGCACCTTTCAAATTTGAGCATGCATAGGAATAACCTGGAGAGCTTTTTAAAAGAGTCTTGGGCCCCACCTCCAGAGAATCAGATTAAGTAGGTCTGGGGTGGGACCTGATTTTCTGCATTTCTAATCTCCCAGGTGGTGCTGGTGCTGATGAGCTGAGACTTTCATTTGAATAACAAAGACCCTAGAGAGCTGTGTGCCACTTTTTCCTCACAGGGCAAAGGGCATTTTGATTCTGGTGTCTACACATGGATGGGTTCAGTATAAACCACTTACTTGTAGTAAATTAATTAGTGTTTGGGATGATGAATATTAATTCCGTTTACAGAAGGATTTTTCTTTTAAAAATTATCACCTCAGGTGATAACATCAGAAACCACAAACTAATACCAGGGTAACTGGTGTAAACAAGGGATAAATAGGAAAATGTCAAAATGTACAGTCATCATTTTGAATTTTTTTTTTTTTTTTGAAGGAAAGGGAAGGCTCATTGGGGATGCGTTTGGAAAGGTAGCACTTTATACTTTGCTCCCTTAGAGGCTTTATTGGTCGTTGCTGACCTGCTGTAATGGTTTAATCATTCACTTTGCCATTTGTATGCCACAAATTTGTATGTCACCCAGTCAAAGGTAGCAGCACAAATCTGAACAAGAACAAAGGAGGAAGCAGCTACTGGGGTCAATGTGAGCTACCTGAATGTAATTACATTGTCAAGTGAAATCACAAAGCCAGTGTGTCTTGACTTCTCAAAAATTGAAAATACATCACTCAAAAGTGATGCTGGGTGACAGTTTGGATCAGAGGTTCTCAACTTGGGTGACCAACCATCCCAGCTGCCCAGGAGAGTCAGGCTGTTAGCACTGTCAGTCCTGGGAGACCTGTCAGTCCTGCACCAACCTGGATGGCTGGTCACCCTATGCGACACTGCGGTTGCATGCTGGAATTTGCCTGAAGAGCTTGAGATATACTCGTGCTTGGGAGCCGTCCCAGAGATTCTGGTTTCATTGGTCCTGGGCATTGCAGTTTTTAAAAGCTCCCCAAGAGCTTTTAAGAACAAGAGGTCCTTAACCTTATCTTCACATTAGAATCGTGAAGACAAGGCGAAGAACCTTGAGGCTAGATAATATATGATAATAACATAATAGGATAGATTATATATCATTCACTTATTCCCCTGGTTATTCATTTATTTACACATTAAAAAAATCCAGATTTCATGCCTTCTTTTATGGCAGGCACCACGCCAGTCTGAGGACCAAGGTGAGTAGAACAGAGTCCATTGTCTTGAGAGCTTACATTCTAGAGGAAGAGCTAGGTCAGTAAGTAAATACATCATCTCATGCAGTCATTCATTTATCTCCTCAACAGATATTAAATACCTTCTATGGCAGGAATTGTTTTATCACTGAACATCCATCCAGTGGTGAGGAAGATAGCTAAGGTCACTCTGTGTACAGAGCTTACTACTTACTTTTACCCATGGAGGGGCAGCACTCAGAAAGTAAAGGAATAAGGAAACTAAGGAACTGTGTACTTTCTGATTGTGTAAGTGCTGTGAAGGAGCACGGTCATTCCCGAGAGATGTGGGACCTGTGTCTAGAGGGACACTTTGAGTCTTTCCAAGTCAATGTGGCGGCACCATTCTGGCTCCCCAGCCTCACATGATCCAATCAACTGGAGTGATCTGCTGGCCAGGATGCCCTACTGAAACCAGGGCTGAGTATGAAGCCATTGGATAACATCACAGATACAAGTCTGGGTGTCCTTTGGGGCATCTGGTTGGTCCTGTGAGGCAAAGAGAGGGTTGGAAAATGCCCTGAAATATTGAAATGGGTCTGGGGATCCATGAAGATCCGGTTTGGGCTAAGGGTACACCATCCATATGACACTGTGGCCCTGGTTGATGCCAGATCCCAGGTGGGCATGGAGAAGGCCTTTTAAAATACTGGCTTCATGGTGGTACTGATAATGACCCGGGTAGGGGTGGAGCTGCTCCATTAGGATGAATGGACAGGAGACCTCCCTGAGAATAACATTTGAACTGGGACCTAAATAATTAGAAAAAGCCATCATATGAAGATCTGGGCAGGGGGCAGGAGCGGGGGAGCATTCCAGGAAGAGGGAACATCAAATATAAAGGCCCTGATGTGGGAATGAATACACATAGGTTTAAGACATAAAAAAATAGAGTTTTAATATTTCCTCTTTCTGCGGGAGGTCAGGGAAGATTTAAGTGTTTTAAATCTTAAATAAAATCTTAAATAAAAGTATTTGAGATAATAGTTTTAAGGGAGGGATTAGTTCACTAGGCAAATGAGATGAAGAAAAGCATTGTAGCAAAAGGAACAGCCTATGCAAGGACTGGGAGAGTTAAATGGCCCAGTGAGTTTGGGAAATTCATGGGAAGACATTGAGGGAGAATCAGTGCTTGAGGTATATGTGAGTTAGAAGCAGAGAGAGATGACACCAGAATGGAAGGACTTGTACATGATGTTGGAGGAGTTTCCCTTTATTCTGAAGATGTGGGGAAACCACTGGAACACCTTGTTTCAGAAATAATGCAGTCAAATGACATATCAGATAAAGGGCTAGTATCCAAAATCTATAAAGAACTTATCAAACTCAACGCCCAAAGAACAAATAATCCAATCAAGAAATGGGCAGAAGACATGAACGGACATTTCTGCAAAGAAGACATCCAAATGGCCAACAGACATAGGAAAAAGTACTCACTATCACTCGGCATCAGGGAAATAAAAATCAAAACCTCAATGAGATACCGCCTCACACCTGTCAGAATGGCTAAAGTCAGGAAAACACAGATGTTGGCAAGGATGC